TTATGTCCAATGAGCCCTGTTACAGTATTTGTGCCATATGGTGACAATTCATTCATTGTAGGGATATTGCAATTTGTGAGATTGGATAGTGTTGATTTTGGATTACGTTGGCACACTATTTCCTCGTGGCTCTGTTGTGCGGCGATATAATCCTGCAGTGTGATCACTTTCCTGTTTGCCTCCAGAAATCTTCCTGCAAATGATGAGATTCCTGTTTTCCTTCCCACTCAGCTTCCTAAATAAGAACTAGAGAAAGGATCTGGGTTAGGCATTGTTTTGCTGGTACAGTATGCCCTCAAAATGGGATCTCTGCTCTTGCCAGAAATGCCATAATACAGAGTTACAGCCACGGTTTTAAAAACGTGTACGCTCTATAATCTGTCTGGGCTATATATTGCAGAGCAATCTCTTTTATGTGTTGTGTGTCACATTGATGGTGATCTCATCCCCCTCCAGATATGGGGAATACCTTGCATATAAGAGTTGATATACATAGGTAATATCTGGATGGTCTGCCCAGCAGCTAACTAAAGGCTGGCTGGTGCTAAGAGAAGAGGAGGAGAGTAGAGGAAGGGTTAGGGAGCATTCTTCCCAGAGATCTTCTCATGACGACTGTGTGTGAAGGCGCAGCTAGCTCCCCCGAGGCCCCCTCCCGTCTGCCCCCCTGATTATTGTGCCGTTTCACCCCGTGCCTTGGCTGAAGCCCTGGGAGACATCTACCCCCACCCAGAGCACTCCGCCTCCCTTTCTCACTGCAAATGAGCCTTTGCTCTGTGTGTCTGTGTGTGTGCACGCCCGTCAGTCAGTATTTTTTTTTACGAACGCTAATTAGAATAACAATAAGACGAATGCGGTTAGAGCGAGGTCCTTTCCCAGTGGCTCAGCCAGAGGTTGGGGGAGTTGTCCCACGTGTGCCTGAAAGGGCACACGCTGCTCTATTCATCCAGATGTGTCAGGCTAGGCAAAAGGCACTGCGTGCCCTGCGTGTTTGAGGCCCACTGTTTTGACTGGCAAAGCTGTTGGCCCCATTTTGGGATCACATATCGGAGGGACAAGCCTCATGAGACATCTCCCAGTCCAGGGAAGACTGGTTCTCTTTCTTTAGCAAGCACCTCTGATATTGAGATCGCTAATGTAGCTCTGAAGTATAGTGATTTGATGATGATATTATCCAAGTTATCGCACAAGGGCTTTTAGCGAGCACATTTCTGCTAGTTTTTGTGTAGCAATTAAACACGTAACCTGTAGTAATTTAACACAGATATGGAACTGAAGGTACAGAGATTTGATTGTTTGGTGCATTGATCTGAGACTGTTGATTGCCAGCAGCCCTGATCTATCTGGCCTGGCACAGCCTCAGTGTGTGTGGTCTCCTCACCAGGAAGACTAGTGGTTCCAGGATGATGTTGTAGCTCTGCTCACATACAGTATTAGGTCAACCATTTTGTTTATTAGCACAGGTCAAAAATCTATTAGAAAGATTGATTGAAACACCCAGCCCCTATTGTTTATACTTGTACAGTCTTCGTGTTCTCCTTACATTCCAATAACAGTGTTAGGAATATCCCAATAAGCACACACAACTTTGGCCGACGTATCAAAATGCGTAGGGAATATGTAGTTTGGAGAGCGTTTGCACATTGGCAAGATGTCACCGAGACATCAGAATAGAATGCCTGGCTGACATATAATCTATGTAGAACTGTAGAATTTAGAATGTAGGTATTCTAAATACGTCTGCGAGATGTCTTGTCAATTAGCAAACGCTTACTACATCTAACTGGGATCATGATAGCTATTTATTTTATATCACAAGAATAGGCTAGACAAATGAGATCCTGTTGGATCTAATCCCATTCATGGAAGATGCCTCACCATTCTGTAAACCAGTAAGGACTGACCCAGAAGTTACCTTTTGGAGGGTAATAACATAACATCACTGAAAGCACTAGAGCAACAAACGACCATCAGCGAGAGTGAAAAGCACTAAGTGATGTAAGAAAGAGCAAGCCTCTGTTCCTCCGCTCTTTCTGTTGGTTTGGTTGGTTGTTCGGCTGTCTGCAATGGTTGCTTTTCCTGAACTCTTCCCACATCCATAATTTTTCCGGCATTTAAAAATGCAGCACAACAGCATACAAGCAACGCTGCCCCCGTAAACAAACATGGTTAGGGAAGTGGAATGGTCAGAGGGCAGAGTTTCTGTCTGCAGTATGTAGTTGTTGTGTTCTCTAGGGCTCAAATCACTAGAGTACTACAGACTGAGCTATTGTTTAACCTAAAGAAGAATAACAAGGTAATCTTTACCACATTGACAGTGGGAGATATACACTGTGTGCAAAGAGGACTTTGATGTATACTGAGGTTTCACTGTATGTTTTGTGTTTGTTTGGGCATGTGACGGTTTATGAGTGTTTGTTTGTCATGCACTAGGGAAGGCTTATCTGCTCACCCTGGTTTTCCACGTCACAGCTCGGTGCATGTTTTGGATTTAGTCTTGTTTCTCTGAGGCTCTGTGTAAATTAATCAGATTTGGATGTATTTTCACATGTTACAATCTGGGAATTGTTAAAGGATTACCAACTGCTTGGAATCAAGGGCCGGTAAAGGGAGTATTTGGATCATTCTTCAAGTTAGTAATGATCACTGTAATTAAACAATTGATTAAAACACGACATCACACAGCACATACGGGCCCCTCCACCCCCAAGCCTTATGTAGAGTCATGGGCCTACATAATCCCCAAACACTGTAACTATAGTAACCAGTGGAAAAGTGGCTGCATGTAATGTTAAAATGGGCTGTCTATGAAGCCTGCCATCAGTGTTCTCCACCCCCCTATCTGTGTGTCCACTCAGACAGGAACACTGCTGGGAGGAGAGAGGGTGGCGAGGGGAGGGGGTGAGTTGGTGACCCATGTGTTTGCCGAGGTTGACAGATTAGCCCAGCTTCTCTTGGAGAAGGCAAATTTAGCTTGGCATAAGAGCCAATACCTTGGGGGATGTTGTAGCCACAACAATTGCCCACCCCCTACTCCCCTCCCAACCCCCTTCAGACCCCCACTCCTCCTCTCTGTGGATCTTCAGTCTTTCTCTACCAACCCCCTCAACGGTCGGGCTGACTTAAAGCACAGGAACAAAAAGCCAGCCTCCCTAAAAGCCTGATTTAAAGGAGAGGTGATCTCACGCATTGTATTCACCATCTATGAGTCACCACAGAGTCATTGATCATACGGTAAACAGCGGGAGGATTGTGGATAGCAGGAATTAATATGAATATTCCCTGAGGCATCGTCTGCATGTGTTACCTTCTATAGTTGTCTGCATGTGTCACTGGAATAATGCCTTCCTTTTAAATGCCACTTGTAAGCTTCCTTTTCCTTTTTGACCAATAGCTCTGTGTGGAGCCTCCAGAGGAAAAACATTGCCTTTCTTTCTGAATGTCTTAGCAGTGTTTCCCCATAGTACACATGGATCCAGCGTGTGCGTATGGCTGTTTGTGAAGAGATGCAGCGTGGCAAAGAGATGGAATGCTTTTGGCCCAAGCTCTTACCCATGCCCCTCCTCCTCCCAGACTAGTTTTCTCTGTTCTGTTTGTCCCTTTGCTGGGATGCTTTAGTGTTGACCACATTCCATAGGGAGATGAAAGCGGGGACTGTGGAGTGCTATACCTCATGCACGAGCTGAGCTGAGCCTCACCATGACAGTGCTGTCCCCCTCGCCCGCCCGCCCACCACACGTCCCTGCTGTTCATGAATAATCCAGGCGGGCCGACGGGCCATTGCACTCAGCTGTGTGGGGGAAGATGCAAGAACAAAAGACAGGCGGCTCACAGCAGCAGCCATGACTGAGCAGACTGGGATGAGAGGACAATGGCCAGCAGTGTCAGTACAGACAGAGGCAGGAGGCACAGACTATAGTAAATCACGTTTGTATATCTAGACGACTGCTCTCATCACTGTGCTGCCATGCTAAATGCAAGAGCTGGGATCTCTGCCTGTCCGCTTACGTCTACAGACCCAAGAAGAAGAAAAAACATCCCCCAAAAATACTTCTCATCTTTCCTGGCAGATGTGTGGTTAGCAGTAGGAAATAAATCTCTTTACCAGAATCCTTTCCTCATCTGCCACCAAATGTAAGGCAGGAGAAGAGCATTATTAAATCTGATTAGAGGTGATAAATACTAAATAGTGTTAATGCTGTCTGTGGGTGTAAGGGGGAGTTTTTCATGGACACCAGTGAGGGTGCCCTTTGTCCTGCTCTAACGGCAGAACCCACGCCAAGTTGTTCCGTTCCAGTCCAGTTCACACCTTACAACAGCCTGAAAGTATTTGACATCTCCAAACACACAGGGCTGGCCGGCCCTGGCCTTGTGCAGGCTGCAGCAGATGTGCCTGGGCCCAGGCCACAGAGGGGCTATTGTATCTGCCCCAGCACCCCGTAGAGAGGCTCTGCTGACAAGGTGCTGAGGATTGTCGATCTGATGCCATTTGGCTAGGATGACACTAACTGTCCAACTGCCAACTTCAGCTCACAGGATGGACACTACTGGGCAAAGCTGACTGACCTACCACTCGTCTGACAGTACACTGCAGCACAATGACTTCCATTTGTTCCTGCTGGGGAGTTTTTAGAATCATTTGCATATGTTATCCATTCTCACACATTTATTTGAAATTGTCTTAACTTGATTTGAACAAGATACATTTTGTGTAAAATGGCATAGCTTACTATATATTTCAAATGTCCCTTTAGGAAGGGTCAGATAAAATATCTTAAGAGTACAGACCCGAAGGGTGAAGCCTAATTCCAGCAGTTAGTGAATGCTAAATAGTGATTCATTTCCCATGTAGGCCAAGTAAGTTAGTTGGAGGCATTGACAGCTGATGTTGATGTTTGGTTGAAGTGTGGCATACGGCCTCAGCTTCAGCAAAGCTTAGGAGTTTGACCTTAGTCCTTCCATGTGACCTGCGGAAGTGTGGGACTCCCCTGGCTTAACCAGAGATGGAAAGGGTAGGCCTGGGGGCCTCGGGCAAGGACAGCTTCATGGTACGGCCGGACTGCCCTGTGTAGTCAGCTCTATGGAAATACACACCTCTGTTATTCACACTGATATTAGACTTACCTGTCAATGTGGGTGGTGGTTCTGGAACAGATGGGGACGAGGGGAAAAGTCATGGTAGATTTCCATCAGTTTGGAAATGGGAACCCACAAAAGATTGAATGACATTCTAAAAATTATAAATATTTCAACAGCATTTTTGTGATCAACAGTTTTATAGATTTTATTTTTTACATACACAAAAGCCTACAAAATGGAGGCCTAAGATTAGTTGTTTTCCTTTTCTTTTGAGTGTTTATTCAGAACCCTCTAGCATGAACAACTGTCCTGGGAAATGTAATCTGAAGACGAGAGAGAAAAAAAGTTGCAGGGAGCAAGTCAAGGATGGCCCGTGTGTGCTCAGACAAAGCTTTTAACTGGAGTGCCTCATATTTTGGAGTCCTTAATCTTCACATCAGGGAATGTACGGGCTAAAAGCAGCCAGGAGCCAGGAGCAGCTCCCCCAGGAGCCAGGAGCATAGAGCTGGGAACTAATGACATATGTTTATGAAGGTGGAGAAGGAAGCTGTGAATAAAATGGGGTCGACCTCAGAATGGACTGACCTGAGTGACATTGATTAGAATTAGAATGTGATGTGTGCACGGTGGCGGGGATGGGGGGGACAGGCGAATCTAACGCTTGGCTGGAGGGGGGTGCTTGCTGCTCGCTTCAAACCAAGAGCGCATAGTGACTGAGGGGGATGTGGTGGCGGTATGGGGTTCTAGTGGGGGGGGGGGAACGGTGATTGCACAGCTAAGACTGTAAATCCTGAGCTGTGCTCTCGCCTGGGGGCAGCCAAGCTGTTTATCAGCATCTCCATTTGAAATAAATCATTCTCCAGTGCAATGCTATCTGCCTTGACCTACTTCTGGAGCCTCTCTGACTTGTTGCTTCGAGTTTTGGTCAAGACCGCTACCACTTTAGACAGCGTCTTGATGTATTAGGTCCTGCAGACATGGCTGTTCTGTTGCTCCTATTTACTTTGATGCTTTTTTTGGTTGATGGCAGTTAATTAGGGGAAACCTGAAGCTGACATTAGTGGAATCCTGCCCCACCACTTCATGTGAAGGGCTGGACAGATATAGGTCAACATAACTAATGGTCAGTTTGATATCAGAAGTGTCCATGACTTTGTGGGCTGCCTTGTGCTTTGTGTTGTGATTGTTGGCTTGTGTGTTGTGTGCTATTAAGAGAGCTGAGAGTGATGGGGGTAGAGTGTCCAGCTCGCTGTGGGGTTCGGGGGAAGAAGGGGTGGGGGGGAGGGGTGTTGAAAGAAGAGCTGTTTATTGCCTACGCGCTACAGAAACTGCATGACTGGGTATTTGTGACAACTAGAGTCCTGCCTGCCACATCTGCCCCAGGCACTGTGCATTCTACCAGCCAGCCTGGAATCAATCACTTTCCACAGTTAAGCTAAAGAGGCTGTTTCAAGGCCCACTGACTGTCCTCTGTTTGTCTTAGTGCTCATAATAAAAGGGAAATATTACATGGAGCCCTTTTGTCTTTTGTGTTAGCCATCTCACCCTAGTCTGAGACCACTAGGGAAGTGAAAGTGACTTATTTTTAGATGATTTGGAAACAATTCCTAATTTCTGAGTTCAGCCAGTCAGTCAGTCAGTCAGTTATCATGCTGGGTCAAAAGAAGTGATAATTATTCTGTGGGCCATCTATCTCTCTGCCCCTTTCATCTTGTCCTCTGAATCTAGGGCACAGGCTCAGCATCAACAAAACGGTCTATTTCAGCTGGAGTAAAAGGACAGTCGGCACCCAATGTGTTTAAGTACACGGCAATACCTGTTAGTTAATGACTTTCTATGTTGAATTGGCCATTTTGTGAAAGTAGGTTTTTAGGCCATTTTATTAGCTGTTTTTGGCCCCATAGCACCCTGTGGGTCTGTTGGATTCCAAGGGAGCTCTGGACACTACAGTACGATACTATCACCTAGGTAGAGAGACATAAGGCCCAATGGTTAAGGCCCATATATCAGCCTCACTGTTCCAATGGCTGAGTAGAGGTTGCCACTTTGAGACCTAGGAGGTCCCACGTGGCCTGGGTTATTGGCTTAACCAGTGGCTTATTTAGGGCAGTTTTATGGCTTGAGAACAGCAGAGGGCCAAGCTCATTCTCATATCAATACATTAAAAGACTTTGGTCCAGCTACTTTGGTGCAGTAACAAATACACTTCTAGATTACATTTACTCTAATCACCTTCTGGGAAGATAAAATGTACTCATTACATAACTGTGTGTTGTTCCAAAGCAATAACATCAAAACAGCAACGCTACAAGGTTGATACAAGTGTGTCACAGAGCAGTGGTTCCCAAGCTGGGGTCTGCGGATCGCGGAGGTACTATATAAGAAAAAATATATATATATATTGCTAGCAGATTAAACACATTTGGCCAAGGGCCATGTGGAAAATTTTAGAGGGTGCAATACAATACAATGTAATATTATTCATCTACAATATACCCTTAAATGCACAACAGGGCCAACAGGGAGGTCACAGGGATCCACAGTACTCCATCAATGATCCAGTATTCAACTGAATAGTTCTTGTATTCCCCCAAAATTTTTGTTTTTAACATAGATGCACTGTAATTTAAGCTGTAAAACTGCAAAATGTTCTCTCTGCCTCATGGCAAATGTGTAGAGTTGCAGGAAATGAGCTTTAAAACTGCAAAATGGTCTCTCCGATGCGAAAAGGGGTGCCTTTAAAATGTTCTTTCCCTGGGCCCGAGACTTGGTTAGTCCGACCATGCACTACAGCAGTCATAGTAAAACACCTTGTATGCTATTTTATTGCACTCTAAAGTCAAAGTTGTGTCCCCTGACCCAAAAAGTTTGAGAACCCCTGTCACAGAGTGTAGCATGCAGAATACAGTAATACTGGTATAGGTAGATGATTAACATGGTGCTCTACAGATGAACACCTTTTGCATTTGGCCTGTTTAAGACTATTTATACATCTACAATTGAAGTCGGAAGTTTACGTACACCTTAGCCAAATACATTTAAACTCAGTTTTTCACAATTCCTGACATTTAATCCTAGTAAAAATTCCCTGTTTTAGGTCAGTTAGGATCACCACTTTATTTTAAGAATGTGAAATGTCAGAATAATAGTAGAGAGTGATTTATTTCAGCTTTTATTTATTTTATTTCATCACATTCCCAGTGTGTCAGAAGTTTACATACACTCAATTAGTATTTGGTAGCATTGCCTTTAAATTGTTTAACTTGGGTCAAACGTTTCGGGTAGCCTTCCACAAGCTTTCCACAATAAGTTGGGTGAATTTTGGCCCATTCCTCCTGACAGAGCTGGTGTAACTGAGTCAGGCCTCCTTGCTCGCACATGCTTTTTCAGTTCTGCCCACAAATGTTCTATAGGATTGAGGTCAGGGCTTTGTGATGGCCACTCCAATACCTTGACTTTGTTGTCCTTAAGCCATTTTGGCACAACTTTGGAAGTATGCTTGGGGTCATTGTCCATTTGGAAGCCATTTACGACCAAGTTTTAACTTCCTGACTGATGTCTTGAGATGTTGCTTCAATATATCCACATAATTTTCCTTCCTCATGATGCCATCTATTTTGTGAAGTGCACCAGTCCCTCCTGCAGCAAAGCACCCCCACAGCATGATGCTGCCACCCCCGTGCTTCACGGTTGGGATGGTGTTCTTCGGCTTGCAAGTTCCCCCTTTTTCCTTCAAACATAACAATGGTCATTATGGGAAAACAGTTCTATTTTTGTTTCATCAGACCAGAGGACATTTCTCCAAAAAGTACGATCTTTGTCCCCATGTGCAGTTGCAAACCGTAGTCTGGCTTTTTTATGGCGGTTTTGGAGCAGTGGCTTCTTCCTTGCTGAGCGGCCTTTCAGGTTATGTCGATATAGGACTCGTTTTACTGTGGATATAGATACTATTGTACCTGTTTCATCCAGCATCTTCACAAGGTCCTTTGCTGTTGTTCTGGGATTGATTTAACTTTTCACACCAAAGTACGTTCATCTCTAGGAGACAGAATGCGTGGTCCCATGGTGTTTATACTTGCGTACTATTGAGATGAACGTGGTACCTTCAGGCATTTGGAAATTGCTCCCAAGGATGAACCAGACTTGTGGAGGTCTACAATTCTTTTTCTGAGGTCTTGGCTGATTCATTTTGATTTTCCCATGATGTCAATCAGAGGCACTGAGTTTGAAGGTAGGCCTTAAAATACATCCACCTGTACACCTCCAATTTACTCAAATTATGTCAATTAGCCTATCAGAAGCTTCTAAAGCCATGACATCATTTTCTGGAATTTTCCAAGCTGTTTAAAGGCACAGTCAATTTAGTGTATGTAAACTTCTGACCCACTGGAATTGTGATACAGTGAATTATAAATTAAATAATCTGTCTGTAAACAATTGTTGGAAAAATTACTTGTCATGCACAAAGTAGATGTCCTTACCGACTTGCCAAAACTATAGTTTGTTAACAAGAAATTTGTGGAGTGGTTGAAAAACGAGTTTTAATGACTCCAACCTAAGTGTATGTAAACTTCCGACTTCAACTGTATACTGCTGTTTTTGTGCACGGTGCGTACAGATTTATCTTGGGTTATTTGAGGATAGTGGTCAGAGAATATCGGTGTGGAGAAAGGGGTCTTACATGCTCACATCAAGCACACAATCTCTTTTAGGCGTTGCCTTAGGACAAAAGAAGGGAAAGTGTTTTTCATAGAAATAATCTGTTCCTTTTTTTGATAGAAGGTATAGTACACACTGTTCTCTACCAGGATGGGGCTAGGAAGAGCGATTGCAAACTGATTAACTTAACTGCTGTGTAAGGACAGAGCATTCAGTTAGCAACCACAGAGTAATACTGTGTAATAGATGAGAGTAGAGGCACAGCTTTCAAGATGTGTGCTGATGTACTTTGGAATTAGTTTGGAAAAGTGATATGCTATGCCTAGTTGACTTTCATATGCTTCAGATGGGGCTTCATTTGAAATCGCATTAAGCCAGAGACTGCCTGGCTGTCACCCTGAGCAGTTGAATCATACGTAATGTCAATAACCTCAGTCTTCCCATTTACCATGTTTTGCTCTCCAATTAAATGTGTAGCCTAATTGATGGCTAATGGAAGGGTCATCCTTTGCGGTGCATTATACATTAGTTACCAAAACGTTTCGGATTGTATAACACAAACGCAAGGCTTTTCATTTAGCATGTTTAGAATTCCCACAGGGACCAGTACAAAAAAAAAGTATTGAAATGAATGCACTCACTGCTGTAAGTCGCTCTGGATAAGTGCGTCTGCTAAAGTACTCAAATGTAAATGTAGAATATGCAGACAGAAAGCACAGCTGAATATGCTAAAACTGCTTGGTCATAAACATTTATAGTTTTACACATGGTCTCCTCAGTGATCTAACGCTATCTCTGTTTCCCCTGACAACAGTACATCAAGATCCCTGCCCCGTCCCCAGAGGCCCCAGATGCACTCCGGGTCTTCTCCTTCTACCTATCCAGTGATGGCAAGGACAAACCTCAGGCCAGCTTTGACTGCATCCACCACCATGTCTCAGGGTAAGCCCTCGCTACTGTTTTCAGTCAACCACAGATGGAATTCTCAGCCAGTTCACAGTAGAGCTGGGATGATAAACCAAACATTTGACACCGATCACTTATTGTAGACATTTTGCTGATATTGTTCATTATGATAAGTAGCCTATACTAGAGAAATGTAAAGTTTTTAAAATGAAATAAGTTTGATAATATGGGTGATTGTTAATGGAACAATTGATGGCTACAACCATCAAACTAGTAATCGTTTTAAAGGATAATAAATAAATAAATGTGGTGCTCATTGTTAGAAACTTTGTTGTATTTATTGTTATGGCATCAATTCAGGCAATTTATCGCAATATGGATTTATGCCCATATTGCCCAACTCTAGTTCAGTCAGATTTGGACCACAGGGCTTCTGAGACACTGCTCTCTCTCGCTCTCATTGCTAACACAAGTAACCCTTGTCCCCATGTGAACGTCCGCTAGAAACAAGTGACAGCTTATCCCCGACTGTTTTTCTTACCATGTATAGTTCAGTCTTATTTTCGAACTACTCATAAGCTCTGACCTTTTGAGTTAAGCACTATTTGTTGAGCTCTTGTTTTTCCTTTGAGTTACTGTAAGCACCTATTTAGCGTGCTGTGTTGCTAAAGTTTGAATGCTGGTGTATTAGTATTTAATATTTTATTAGGATGCCCATTAGCTGTTGCTGAAGCAGCAGCTACTCTTCCTGGGGTCCACACAAAACATAAAGCATGGCATAGTACAGAACATGAATAGACAAGAGCAGCTCAAGGATAGAACAACATACATTTTAAATGAGAAAAATAGACCTAACAAAGTCCTGTACTGACACAACACAGAGAAACAGAGGGACCAACAGTGCCTTGCAAAAGTATTCATACAGTGAGGGAAAAAAGTATTTGATCCCCTGCTGATTTTGTATGTTTGCCCACTGACAAAGACATGATCAGTCTATAATTTTAATGGTAGGTTTATTTGAACAGTGAGAGACAGAATAACAACAAAACAATCCAGAAAAACGCATGTCAAGAATGTTATAAATTGATTTGCATTTGAGGGAAATAAGTATTTGACCCCTCTGCAAAACATGACTTAGTACTTGGTGGCAAAACCCTTGTTGGCAATCAGAGGTCAGACGTTTCTTGTAGTTGGCCACCAGGTTTTCACACATCTCAGGAGGGATTTTGTTCCACTCCTTTTTGCAGATCTTCTCCAAGTCGAACCTTCAGCTCCCTCCACAGATTTTCTATGGGATTAAGGTCTGGAGACTGGCTAGGCCACTCCAGGACCTTAATGTGCTTCTTCTTGAGCCACTCCTTTGTTGCCTTGGCCGTGTGTTTTGGGTCATTGTCATGCTGGAATACCCATCCATGACCCATTTTCAATGCCCTGGCTGAGGGAAGGAGGTTCTCACCCAAGATTTGATGGTACATGGCCTCGTCCATCGTCCTTTTGATGCGGTGAAGTTGTCCTGTCCCCTTAGCAGAAAAACACCCCCAAAGCATAATGTTTCCACCTCCATGTTTGTCGGTGGGGATGGTGTTCTTGGGGTCATAGGCAGCATTCCTCCTCCTCCAAACACGGCGAGTTGAGTTGATGCCAAAGAGCTCGATTTTGGTCTCATCTGACCACAACACTTTCACCCAGTTCTCTTCTGAATCATTCAGATGTTCATTGGCAAACTTCAGACGGCCCTGTATATGTGGTTTCTTGAGCAGGGGGACCTTGCGGGCGCTGCAGGGTTTCAGTCCTTCACGGCGTAGTGTGTTACCAATTGTTTTCTTGGTGACTATGGTCCCAGCTGCCTTGAGATCATTGACAAGATCCTCCCGTGTAGTTCTGGGCTGATTCCTCACCGTTCTCATGATCATTGCAACTCCACGAGGTGAGATCTTGCATGGAGCCCCAGGCCGAGGGAGATTGTGCCCCTAATCTCAGCTCGTTACCTGTATAAAAGACACCTGGGAGCCAGAAATCTTCCTGATTGAGAGGGGGATCAAATACTTATTTCCCTCATTAAAATGCAAATCAATTTATAACATTTTTGACATGCGTTTTTCTGGATTTTTTGTTGTTGTTGTTCTGTCTCTCACTGTTCAAATAAACCTACCATAAAAAGTATAGACTGATCATTTCTTTGTCAGTGGGCAAATGTACAAAATCAGCAGGGGATCAAATACTTTTTTCCCCCACTGTATACCTTGGATTTCTTCACAGTTTATTGTTACAAAGCGGGATTAAAATGGATTTAATTGTAATTTTTTGTCAATAATCTACTCAAAATACTCTGTCAAAGTTAATAAGGGCCTCCCGAGTGGCGCAGTGGTCTAAGGCGCTGAATCGCAGTGCTAGAGATCCTGGTTCGAGTCCAGGCTCTGTCGCAACCGGCCGCAACCGGCCGGACCCATGGGGCGCGGCGCACAATTGGCCCAGCGTCGTCCAGGGTAGGGGAGGGTTTGGCCAGCAGGGATGTTCTTGTCCCATCGCGCACTAGCGACTCCTGTGGCGGGCCAGGCGCAGTGCACGCTGACTAGGTCGCCAGGTGTACAATGTTTCCTCCGACACATTGGTGCAGCTGGCTTCCGGGTTAAGCGGGCACTGTGTCAAGAAGCAGTGCGGCTCGGTTGGGTTGTGTTTCGGAGGATGCAGCGGTGGGACAAGACTGTAACTACCAATTGGATACCACGAAATTGTGGAGAAAAAGGGGGTAAAATACCCCCCAAAAAATTATTACAAAAATATAGTAATTGCATAAGTAGTCAGCCCCTATGTTCAGGCATGCCTAAATTAGTTCAGGAATAACATTTGGCTTAAAAAATCACATAAGTTACATGAAATAATAAGGTTTGACATTTTTTTACTGACCCTTCCTCTGTCCACCATACATACAACAAGAATTGAATTTCATGCACAGATTCAACTACAAAGCTTCATAAAGAAGGCCATTGTTTGTTAGATGGGTAACAATAACAAATCAGCATGGTCAAGTTAATAATTATGCAGTGATTTATGTATTAAACAACCCAGACATATACAGTCATCCTTCTGAACTGAGCTGCAGGACCGGAAGGAAACTGCTCAGGGATGTTACCATGAGGCCATTGATGATTTTAAAACAGAGTTCAATGGCTGTGATGGGAGAAAACTGAGGATGGATCAACAACATTGTAGTGACCCCACAATAATGGCTTAAATGAAAAGAAGAATACAAATATTCCAAAACATGCATCTTGTATGCAACAAGGCACTAAAGTAATACTGCAGAAAAACACGGCAAAGGAATACACTTTATGGCCTAAATGCAAAGTCCTATGTTTTGGGAAAATCCAACATAGCACTGAGTAACTGCATCCTTATTTTCAAGCATAGTGGTGGCTGCATCATGGTATGGGTATGCTTGACATCGGCAAATACTGGGGAGTTTTTCAGGATAAAAAGAAACAGGATGGAGCTAAGCACAGGCAAAATCCTAGAGGAAAACCTGCTTCAGTCTGCTTTACATTAGGAGAGAATTTCACCTTTCAGCAGGACAATAACCTACAACACAAGGCCAAATCTACACTGGAGTTGCTTACCAAGATGGCAGTGAATGTTCCTGAGTGGCCAAGTTACAGTTTTGACTTAAATCTGCTTGAAAATATATGGCAAGACTTGAAAATTGCTGTCTAGCATCTTGACAGAGCTTGAGGAATTATGAAAAGAATAATGGGCTAAAATTGCACAATCCAGGTGTGTAAAGCTCTCCCCAAGAAGACTCACAGATGTAATTGTTGCCAAAGGTGTTTCTAACATGTATTAACTCAGGGAGCTGAATACTTATGCAATTACTATATATTTTTGTTATTTCATTAATTAAATAATATTTGAAAAAATGTTAATTTTTCTTCCACTTTGACATTAGAGTATATTGTGTAGATTGACAACAAATTACAATTAAATCCATTTTAATTACGCTTTCTGACCAAATAAAATGTGAAGAAATCCCAGGGGTATGAATACTTTTGCAAGGCACTGTATTACTCTAGGCCTACATTCATTTCCACTTTCTTATATTACATTTACATTGAGTAGTACAGTGGCTTGCCAAAGTATTCACCCCCCTTGGCATTTTTCCTATTTTGTTGCCTTACAACCTGGAATTAAAAAATATTTGTATCATTTGATTTACACAACATGCCTACCACTTTGAAGATGCAAAATATTTTTTATTGTGAAACAAACAAAAAAACAGAACTTGAGCGTGCATAACTATTCACCCCCCCAAAGTCAATACTTTGTAGAGCCACCTTTTGCAGCAATTACAGCTGCAAGTCTCTTGGGGTATGTCTCTATAAGCTTGGCACATCTAGCCACTGGGATTTTTGCCCATTCTTCAAGGTAAAACTGCTCCAGCTCCTTCAAGTTGGATGGGTTCCGCTGGTGTACAGCAATCAATTGGATTGAGGTCTGGGCTTTGACTAGGCCATTCCAAGACATTTAAATGTTTCCCCTTAAACATTTACATTTACGTCATTTAGCAGACGCTCTTATCCAGAGCGACTTACAAATTGAACCACTCTGTTGCTTTAGCAGTATGCTTAGGGTCATTGTCCTGCTGGAAGGTGAACCTCCGTCCCAGTCTCAAATCTCTGGAAGACTGAAACAGGTTTCCATCCAGAATTTCCCAGTATTTAGCGCCATCCATCATTCCTTAAATTCTGACCAGTTTCCCAGTCCCTGCCGATGAAAAACATCCCACAGCGTGATGCTGCCACCACCATGTTTCACTGTGGGGATGGTGTTCTCGGGGTGATGAGAGGTGTTGGGTTTGCGCCAGACATAGCGTTTTCCTTGATGGCCAAAAAGCTCAATTTTAGTCTCATCTGACCAGAGTACCTTCTTCCATATGTTTGGGGAGTCTCCCACATGCCTTTTGGCGAACACCAAACGTGTTTGCTTATTTTTTTCTTTAAGCAATGGCTTTTTTTCTGGACACATGGATTTAATGGTGCTCCGTGGGATGTTCAATGTATCGGATATTTTTTTAATACCCAACCCTGATCTGTACTTCTCCACAACTTTGTCCCTGACCTGTTTGGAGAGCTCCTTGGTCTTCATGGTACCGCTTGCTTGGTGGTGTCCCTTGCTTAATGGTGTTTCAGACTCTGGGGCCTTTCAGAACAGGTGTGTATATATACTGAGATCATGTGACACATCATGTGACCCTTAGATTGCACACAGGTGGACTCTATTTAACAAATTATGTGACTTCTGAAGGTAATTGGTTGCACCAGATCTTATTTAGGGGCTTCATAGCAAAGGGGGTGAATATATATGCACGCACCACTTTTCCGTTATTTATTTTTTAGAATTATTTGAAACAAGGTATTTTTTTTCATTTCACTTCACCAATTTGGACTATTTTGTGTATGTCCATTACATGAAATCCAAATAAAATATCCATGTAAATTACAGGTTGTAATGCAACATAATAGGAACATCGCCAAGGGGGATGAATACTTTTGCAAGGCGCTGTATCTATCAGTTAGACGCATACATACATATCAGTATACATATACATACATAAGCTTATTTAGGTCAGGTGTTTTATTTGTTAGTTGAAGATTGTAATGTAATGACAGAAGATAACCAATCTCAACTGTCTGTCTCTAGACCTTTGACCTACACATGTGCGGTGATGTGATTAGTTACTTGAAAAGTAATACTTGTTACATTTTACAAAAGTAATGTTACTTTACAATATTACTAGTTATACTACTTTGCATTACTTTCATGCAAAAAATCTAAATCTCACCGTTTGTTTGACTGTCGGAGGGAGCAAGGCGAGCCGCGTGCGCTCTAACAAGGATAGGCTACTTACTAACTCAGGTTTTATATCACAAGCGATCAATGGCAAAGATCAGAGGTGCGCCCTCTATACATTTCTATAGACAGCAGATGTCATGACATTTCTCCAAACAAGTTGAGATCAGGTCATGGAAACATGCGCTCGGTAGAGATATGGACTGTTTCGCTAGCACAGACTGGAATGTTCCGGGATTCATCCACATCAGTCACTGGCTTCATTAATAAGTGCATCGACGACGTCCCCCCCACAGTGACCGTACGTACATATCCCAACCAAAAGTCATGGATTACAGGCAACATCCACACTGAGCTAAAGGCTAGAACTGCCGTTTTCATGGAGCGGGACACTAATCCAGACGCTTATAAGAAATCCCGCTATGACCGCCGAGCCATCAAACAACAGGCAAAGCATCAATACAGGAATAAAATAGAATCCTGTTACGCCGGCTTTGACTCTTGTCGGGTGTGGCAGGGCTTGCAAACTATAATGGATTACAAAAGGAAACCCAGCCGTCCATTGACGTGAGCTTACCGGAAGAGCTTAAATGCCTTCTAGGGTTGGGCGGTATCTAGATTTTCATACCGTCATACCGTTTCTGTACCATACCAGGGTATACAGTATTACCGAATGTGCACACAAGGGGCGCTATACATAAATAAAAAAAATAAAAAAATATATATATATAACTATTTAGGCATCAGGATCTTGATCCAGGAGGGGATTGAATGTCTCTGCTGTAACCAAGAAGCTTGGTTTTTACATCTAGCCATTTAGCTAGCAAGTTAGCAAACCAAATGCATAGCTGTGGCCCTGAGCTCGATCAAATTTATTTGACACATCTTAGATTTCTTATAGGTAACTTATAAATATATTTTATAGACTTTCTTTTTTTATTATTTTGAAATACCCTGGTATATGGTATCAACGTTATATCGCCCAAGCCTAATGCCTTCTTTGTTCGCTTCGAGGCAAGCAACACTGAACCATGCATGAGAGCACCAGCAGTTACGAATGACTGTGTGATCACGCTCGCCGTAGCCAATGTGAGTAAGACCTTTTAAACAGGTTAACATTCAACAGGCCGCGGGGCCAGACGGATTACCAGGATGTGTTCTCAGAGCATGCGCTGACCAGCTGGCGGGTGTCTTCACTGACATTTTCAATCAGACCGTAGTCCCTGTGCCCAAGAACACCATGGTAACCTGTCTAAATGACTATTGCCCCATAGCACTCACATCTGTTAGAGATTGCAGATGACGCAATCTCTAATGCACTCCACACTGCCCTCTCCCACCTGGACAAGAGGAATACATATGTGAGAATGCTGTTCATTGACTACAGCTCAGCGTTCACCACCATAGTGCCCTCCAATCTCATCACTAAGCTCAGGACCCTAGGACTGAACACCTCCCTCTGCAACTGGATCCTGGACTTCCTGACAGGCCGCCTCCAGGTGGTGAGGGTAGGCAACAACACATCTGCCACGCAGACTCTCAACACGGGGGTCCCTCAGGCCCTGTTCACCCACGACTGCGTGGCTGCGCATGACTCCAACACCATCATTAAGTTTGCTGACGACACAAAGGTGGTAGGCCTGATCACTGATGACGATGAGACACCCTATAGAGAGGTCAGTGACCTGGCAGTGTGGTGCCATGACAACAACCTCTCCATCAACGTCAGCAAGTACGCCCCCATCCACATCGACGGGGCTGTAGTGGTGTGGGTCGAGAGCTTCAAGTTCCTCAGTGTCCACTTCAGTAAGGAATTAACATGGTCCACACACACCAACACAGTGGGGAAGAAGGCACGCCAGTGCCTCTTCTCCCTCAGGAGGCTGAAAAGATTTGGCATGGGCACTCAGATCCTTAAAGTTATCCAGCTGCACCATTGAAAGCCTCTTGTCTGGCTGCATCACTGCTTGGTATGGCAACTGCTTGGCATCTGACCGCAAGGCGCTAGAGGGTAGTGCGTACAGCCCAGTACATCACTGGGGCCAAGCTCCCTGCCATCCAGGACCTCTATACCAGGCGGTGTCAGAGGAAGGCCCCAACAATTGTCAGACTCCAGCCACCCAAGTCATCGACTGTTCTCTCTGCTACAGCATGGCAAGCGGTACCGATGCACAAAGTCTGGTACCAGCAGGACTCTGAACAGCTTCTACCCCCCAAGCCATAAGACAACTAAATAGTTGACCAAATAGCTACCCGAACTATCTGCATTGACCCTTTTTGCATTAACTCTTTTGACTCATTACCTATGCTGCTGCTGCTGCTACTGTTTATTATCTATCCTGTTGCCAAGTCACTTTGCCCCAACCTATATGTACATATCTACCTCAATTACCTCGTACGCCTGCACATCGACTCGGTACTGGTACCCCCTGTATATAGCCAAGTTGTCGTTACTCATTGTTTATTTATTTGTTGTGTTATTATTTGTCTATATTTTTCTCTCTGCATTGATGGGAAGGGCCCGTAAGTAAGCATTTCATGGTTGGTCTACACCTGTTATTTACGAAGCATGTGACCAATACAATTCGATTTGATTCTGAAAGTAACGCACGCATTGTTTGACAACGTAACCGTAATAATATTACCCAGTTTAAAGTAATGGTGCATTACTTTTGTAACACGTTACCCCCAACACTGCGCATGTCTGAGAACGGTGAGATCAGTGTTTGTGGTCATGTGGGGGTCAAAGGTAGCTCTGTGCTGCTCTGTTTGCACCACAGCTCATAGGCATCTTCGCTTGTTGTACAGCTTAATGCCATAGCATCGGATGTGAGGAATGAGCATGAGGACAGAAGTCACAGAACCGGTCATAGGAGTGAGACATACAGTGCCTTCGGAAAGTATTCAGACCCCTTGACTTTTTCCACATTTAGTTAAGTTACAGCCTTATTCTAAAATGGATTTAAAAATAATATCCTCAGCAATCTACACACAATACCCCATATTGACAAAGCGAAAACAGGTTTTTAGAAATGTTTGCTAATCTATTAAAAATAAAAAGCAGATACCTTATTTACATAATATTCAGACCCTTTGCTATGAGACTCGAAATTGAGCTCAAGTGCATCCTGTTTCCATTGATCATCCTTGATGTTTCTACAACTTGATTGGAGTCCACCTGTGGTAAATTCAATTGATTGTACATGATTTGGAAAGGCACACACCTGTCTATATAAGGTCCCACAGTTGTCAGAGCAAAAAGCAAGCCATGAGGTCGAATGAATTGTCCATAGAGCTTCGAGACAGGATTGTGTCGAGGCACAGATCTGGGGAAGGGTACCAAAAAATGTCTGCAGTATTGAAGGTCCCCAAGAACACAGTGGCCTCCATAATTCTTAAATGGAAGAAGTTTCGAACCACCAAGATTCCTAGAGCTGGCCGCCCGGCCAAACTGAGCAATCAGGGGAGAAGGGCCTTGGTCAGGGAGGTGACCAAGAACCCGATGGTCACTCTGACAGAGCCCTAGAGTTCCTCTGTGGAGATGGGAGGACCTTCCAGAAGGACAACCATCTCTGCAGCATTCCACCAATCAGGCCTTTATGGTAGAGTGGCCAGACGGAAGCCACTCCTCAGTAAAAGGCACATGACCACCTGCTTGGAGTTTGCCAAAAGGCACCTAAAGATTCTCTGGCCTGAATGCCAAGCGTCACGTCTGAAGGAAACCTGGCACCATCCCGACGGTGAAGCATGGTTGTGGCAGCATCATGCTGTGAGGATGTTTTTCAGCGGCAAGGACTGGTAGACTAGTCAGGATCGAGGCAAAGATGAACGGAGCAAAGTACAGAGAGATCCTTGATGAAAACCTGCTCCAGAGCAATCAAGACCTCAGACTGGGGAGAAGGTTCACCTTCCAACAGGACAACGACCCTAAGCACACAGCCAAGACGACGCAGGAGTGGCTTCGGGACAAGTCTCTGAATGTCCTTGAGTGGCCCAGCCAGATCCCGGACTTGAACCCGATCAAACATCTCTGGAGAGACCAGAAAATAGCTGTGCAGCAACGCTCCCCATCCAACCTGACAGAGCTTGAGAGGATCTGCAGAGAAGAATGGGAGAAACTCCACAAATACAGGTGTGCCAAGCTTGTAGTGTCATACCCAAGAAGACTCGATGCTGTAATCGCTGCTAAAGGTGCTTCAACAAAGTACTGAGTAAAGGGTCTGAATACATATGTAAATGTCATATTTCATATTTTTGTATCTTTAATACATTTGCTTTGTCATTATTGGGTATTGTGTGTAGATTGATGAGGGGGGGGAAAAAACAATTTAATCAATTTTAGAATAAGGCTGTAACATAACAAAATGTGGAAAAAGTCAAGGGGTCTGAATACTTTTCGAAGGCACTGTATGTCACACGTTGAAAGAAACACCCTAAATACATTTTTATTAAATGCTCTATTGATTGGGAAGTAGTGTGAGATATTTTGTACATTACCAGTTGCTGCTATGTGAGCCTGATCCTGTCCTCTCCTCAGGGAGGGCAGGGAGCACCTGGAGGGCCAGGGCAGTATTCAGGACAAGATCACTGTATGTGCCACTGATGACTCATACCAGATGACCCGAGAGCGCATGTCTCAGGTGGAGAAGGACATCATGAGCAGGTCGGCCATCGAGATCAAGCCGGGCTCCACACATGGTAAGTCTGCAGTCACAGGCTGCCTTTACCTATGCTGCCTGAGTTGGGTCCAAACCAGCTTTATACTGAGCCCTTTACTGCCTGGGGATCAAGGGCAAAATAATGGAGGTGTTTAATGTTCTCGGAAAGCTTCTAATCCATCGCCTTCTACCATCTTGTCCTGCTGATAATTGCAATATGGTGTGGAGGTTTTCACATAATTGATCAAAGTACTGGGTTGCAATTATTCATGCGAGAGGGGATGCCTCTTTTTCTTCTCGTTTTCCCTTCATTTTGACCAGATTGCTCAGGCACGTTGCCAACCTGCCTGCCAGCTCCATTAATGTGATTGAGTTTGCCAGAAGTATGCACTAACTAGTCTCATGCTGAGTGGATGAAGTTTTGCGTAAGAGTTCAATTACAGTGGCTGCGATTCAATTCGTTTTCATCTATTGAAATACTGAATAATGTATGCAGATTCTCTGACGCAAAGGCCATAATTCATCATAAGGATTTAAGAACTGATGAAGATCAGAATCAAAATGCTGTGTATTTGCGCCACAATGTAAATAAATAATTGTGGGAGCATAGCAGTGCTGTAGATGTCTTTACACAGCATCTGAACCAGTGGGACCTTTGGGATGTGCATTAGCTATATTTAATCCAGGAGGAGGATGTATACACAGGCATACTTCTGTGTCTTTTGATGGGTTATGTCTTGTTGATTGAAGGGACATGTTACAGATGCTTTGTATTATAACCTGGCCAGACACATAAAACATTGCTGTGTTTATGACATTATACACATTTGTGGATTTAAGCTTCTCTTTGCACACACTGACAGTTTTACATATATTTTCTAAAACATAAGTACAACATAACATTAATGTTAATTTCTGCACAGCTGTTGAAGCAAGCAGCACACATTACCTCCCATGCTCTGCTGCTGAAATAGGCCTCTTGAGTGATCTTGCACAACCCTGTTAAATGTAGCTGGCATTTCGAGTTTGCTGTGTAATATCTCTGCTGAATGGGTGCAAAACAAAGAAGGAATTCTTATCCAAATACATAATTTTATATTAAAGTTTATCAAGTGAAAATGTAGAAGTCCACTTGCAGCCTTAGCCTGGGAACATTGACATTGGTTCTCATGTTTCATAGGGTGTAAGGCACACAACTGGACTCGCCTTCCCACAGCATGGACAGGACAGTAAGGCGCCCATATACTTGATATCAAAGGGAACTATCTGTCATATGCGCTGCAGAGCACACAAACCTCTTGTGGTGGCCAGCAGCCGGCAGTATTTCTGTGGTACAGTAATGCTATGCTTATCTCTGACATGTTTCTAATTACCAACTTTAGTTTTAATGTATGGCTCAAAATACCTGTACTTTCCCAGGGAAAGCATTGTTGAAGAAAATCTGCAAAATGCATTTTAAGGTCATCTCTGACCATTCATACTGTAACTTTACAAAACTGTCTTATGAAGGGAAAAACTAGTTTTTTCCGTTCAATATGTTCAGTGGTGATAAAAGTATTGGGAAGCTATAACTGGAAACTCATTGGCAGCCCCATCTCCCACCACCTGAATGCTAGTATTAGTGCTGAGCGATTAGTGATTTTTGAGGTTGGTTCTGTTTTGGTTAGATTATTAAAAAATAATCATGGTTTTCGATTTCAGTGTCGATTGTATTATTAAATATGTATTATGAAATGACATTACATTGATTTTAGAGCTTTTTAATAGAAATTCCAAAGCCAACAATTGTGAACATTCAATTGCCAAAACATTGAAAATATTCCAATGTCACTGTCAGGTCCAAATTGGGTAGACATCTGTAGAAAATAGGAAATTACTAAGAAATAATAACATATTGTAGTTTTGTATATAACGTTTTAATATATATATTTTTTAAGTCATAGTCTCATCTCTGCTCAGGCAGTAGCTGCCGGCCAGCTAGACCATCTAACATTATCTCTGTGCTCCCCATACTGTACTGTCTTTAGTCATCCTATTTAGCTAGGCTAACCTGCCTAAGTATGCTGCAGAGCTGTCTGACTAAATCATTTTACTACACTGTGTGCACAATTATTAGGCAAGTTGTATGTTTGAGGATTAATTTTATTATTGAACAACTACAGTGCTCTCGGTCAATCCAAAATGTTAATAAACCTCAAACCTGAATATTTAAGAAAGTAAAAGTGAGGTTTTGGCTTTCTTTGGAGAATATCTATGTGTGCACAATTATTGGGCAACTATTAGTGTGCAGAATTATTATGCAACTAAATGAAAAACGGAAAGTTCCCCATCTCACTTGTTTATTTTAATCTGTTAAAGTGAGAATAATAAACAAACAAATCAGTGACCAACATAGCCACCCTTCTTTTCAATAACAGTCATAAGCCTTCCATCCATGGAGTCTGTCAGTTTCTTGATCTGTTGACGATCAACTTTTTGTGCAGCAGCAACCACAGCCTCCCAGACACTGGTCAGAGAGGTGTACTGTTTTCCTTCACCATAAATCAACTGTTTAAGAAGGGACCACAAGTTCTCAATAGGGTTTAGGTCAGGTGAGGAAGGGGGCCATGTCATTATTCTTTCATCTTTAAGGCCTTTACTGGCTAGCCACCCAGTGGAGTACTTCGATGCATGCGATGGAGCATTGTCCTACATAAAAATCATGGTCTTCTTGAAAGATGCAGACTTTTTCCTGTACCACTGCTTGAAGAAAGTGTCTTCTAAAAACTGGCAGTAGGTTTGGGAGTTGAGTTTGAGTCCATCTTCAATCCGAAAAGGTCCAACTAGCTCATCTTTAATAATACCAGCCCATACCAGTACCCCACCTCCACCTTGCTGGCGTCTGAGTCGAAGTGGAGCTCCGTGCCCATTACTGATCCAGCCACGGGCCCATCCATCCGGTCTGTCAAGAGTCACTCATCTCATCAGTCCATAAAATCTGTCTTCAGATATTTCTTGGCCCAGTCTTGACGTTTCAACTTATGTGTCTTGTTCAGTGGTGGTCTGGTTTCAGCCTTTCTTAACTTGGCCATGTCTCTGAGCACTGAACACCTTGTACTTCTGGGCACTCCAGGTAGGTTGCAGTTCTGGAATATGACAGCACTGGAGGATAATGGGTTCCTGGTAGCTTCACGTTTGATTCTTCTCAAATCTTTGGCAGTTAATTTGCGTCTTTTTTTCTCAACACGGTTCTTGCGACCCTGTTGACTATTTGCAACAAAACGTTTGATGGTTCTGTGATCACGCCCCAATATCTTAGCAATTTCAAGAGTGCTGCATTCCTCTGAAAGAGTTTTTACAATTTTTGACTTTTCAGAGTCAGTTTAATCTATTTTATGGCCCATTTTGCCTGAGGAAAAGAAGCTGCCTAATAATTATACACACCTTGATATAGGGTGTTGATCTCCTTAGGCCACACCCTCCCTCATTACACAAATACACATCACCTGATATGCTTAAATCCAATAAGTATTCCAGTTTATACAGCTTGGAGTTGGGAAATATGCATAATAATGATGATATGGTCAAAATACTGACTTGCCTAATAATTGTGCACACAGTGTAGTTCTTCAAAGTGGATAAGGCATACTTTCATGAACTGTCTCTATCCCTCTCGTGTTGTGTACAGTCCTCTCTCATGCAGTCTATGCGGTCTGTGTGTATCTAACCGAAAGTAGTAGGCGTAAAAGTGTATCCGTAAATCCAAGCCTGAAAAAACGGACTCAATGGATTATGGTCATTTTAGTTTTATTTAACCTTTATTTTAACAGGGAAGACATATTGAGACCAACACTATATATGCAAAAATATGTGAAAACCCCTTCAAATAAGTGGATTCGGCTATTTCAGCCACACCCGTTGCTGATAGGAGTTGGACTCTGGAGCAGTGGAAACGCGTTCTCTGGAGTGATGAATCACACTTCACCATCTGGCAGTCCGACGGACGAATCTGCGTTTGGCAGATCCCAGGAGAACGCTACCTGCTGAATGCATAGTGCCAACTGTAAAGTTTGGAGGAGGAATAATGGTCTGGGACTGATTTTTATGGTTCAGGCCCTTAGTTCCAGTGAAGGGAAATCTTAATGCTACAGCATACAATGACATTCTAGACGATTCTGTGCTTCCAAATTTGTGGCAACAGTTTGGGGAAGGCCCTTTCCTGTTTCAGCATGACAATGCCCTTGTGCACAATGCAAGGTCCATACAGGAATGGTTTGTAGAGATTGGTGTGGAAGAACTTGACTTGCCTGCCCAGAGCCCTGACCTAAACCCTATCGAACACCTTTGGGATGAATTGGAACGCCGACTGCGAGCCAGGCCTAATCGCCCAACATCAGTGCTTGACCTCACTGATGCTCTTGTGGCTGAATGGAAGCAAGTCCTCGCAGGAATGTCCCAACATCTAGTGGAAAGCCTTCCCAGAAGAGTGGAGGCTGTTATAGCAGCAAAGGGAGGACCAACTCTATATTAATGCCCATGATTTTGGGTGAGATGTTTGACGAGCAGGTGTCCACATACTTTTGGTCATGTAGTGTAGGTCTCTTTTACAAATGCGCCCTGTATATACAAAATAAATATACACATTATACCATAAATAAAATAAATAAAATAAATATATATATATACAAACAAACACAAACACAGTCATGGGAAGCACAAATAAAACATAACAAATCACCCAGAAAAACAGTTAATTCTGGTCATGTGGTGTATTTGTGGAGGAATGTATTATTTTTTATTTATTTTTGTGCTTCCCATGACTGTGTTTTTGTATTTAGATCGATAGATCGATCGATTGGGTATAATGTGTATATTTACGTTGTGTGTGTGTGTGTGTGTGTGTGTGTGTGTGTGTGTGTGTGTGTATACAGGGCGCATTTGTAAAAGAGATTTAAGTCCCCAATCAATACTTTAAATTGTCCGAATGGCACCAGAATATCAAGATGAAATGTATTTACAATTTTGTCCCAGCAATAAGGTGCATTAAAACTGAAAGCAGATTTACCTAGGTCGGTGGAGACCCTAGGAACCTCAAGAGTTAACCAATCCTGTGAACGAATTAGGCAACTCAGGTGTCTATACTTCAACAGCAAAGTTAGATAAGACAGAAGTTAATGAAGTAGGGCCTTATAAACAGAAAGGGAACAATGTAGAGATCTATGGGTCTTTAGCGAAGTCCAGCCAACCTTTTGATACAGGATGCAGTGATGAGTATCAAAACTGTCACCTGTAACAAAACGAAGGGCGCTATGGTTGCTGGCATCCAAAGGTTTAAGAGTAGAAGAAGCTTCACTTTGATAAATAATATCACCATAATCAAGAACAGATAAAAAGGTTGACTGAATAATCTGCTTCCTACTGCTTAGAGAAAGGCACAATCTGTTTCTTTAGAAAAAGCCAACTTTAAATCTTAGCTTCTTAACCAGCTCATCTACAGTATGTTTTTTAAATGTAAAATCCATATCAATCCAAATGCCTAAGTATTTATATGCGGGAACACATTCAATTGGAGAACCATCTAATGAGTGGACATCTACTTCATCTGAAACATTCTCACGAGAGTTTGAAAACAACATGATACACTACACCTAGTTAATTACCAAATGTCTGCGCTGAACTAGGTTGAATATTTGCTTAATGAAAACTACAACTCCCATCAGTTCAGCATCCCACATAGTTCTTGACTTGATTTCTTTTGTGAATGATTTGAGTTCTCTAGAGAAAGGGCGTGTTGGGTTCACACAAAAAAAATATAATACTAAATGGAATTCAAGTAATTGAACCGACATTAGTCAATTAGTTGTTTAATAACCCGAAACCCCCCCCCAAAATCTCAGTTAATAGCTCAGCACTAGCTAGTATTGAGGTTAAGAAAGGTTAGTCCAGTTATGATTGGGTCTGGTTAGAATCATGTATCTGGTAAGGAGAACATCAGGTAGCAGTAGGACATGTCAATACCCCCAAGGAGTGAGGAATACCACACCCTGTGAGCTGTCTTTCAGATGAGATGATAAGCCAAGATCCTAATGCTCTGTGATCACTAAAGATCCTATGGCACTTAATGCTAGAGTAGGATTTAACCCCACCGTCCTGGATAAACTCCAACCTGGGAACCATGGAGAACTCATCCTCAGCCTGTTATAGGCTCACTAACTCCTCACTTCTCTGCTTGGTCTGGTGTCAGTCTGACGTACATTACTTATGGTTGTGATGCATTACACCTTGGTGACAGGTGGGATGAGGAACACCCGACAATCTCAAGCTGAGCTATGATGGTCTTTGGTGTAACTATAGATGTTGGATGAATGCTACTGTTATGGTTTCAATGTGATAAACATTAGTGTGTCCAAACATGACTATCTAGTTTAGGGTTGTCACGATACCAGTATCGCAATACTACGATACCTAATTTTCCATGGCAAAAAGGAAAACACAAAGCAGACTAAACTGGTCCTTTAAAACAGCTACTGTATGTAAAATGTTGCATGCTATAGCATTGAAAAGAAATGTGATTCTGGGTGACAATATAAGGCAGCTTGTTTCCAACAATAGGACTGTTTTCTTCAGGAAATTCAGTCCGCTTCATGTTTTGTTTCCTTGCAATGATACCTCAGAGTATCGCGATACTGGTATCGTGACAACCCTAATCTATTTTAGTTACTGTTTTTGATTTTGTACGGCACGATGTTGCACAAATATTTTTTACCAACAACGAAACCAACCCATATCATTTTCTGAAAGCAACTTTTGTTTCAGTCAAGCATGTGCAGTGTTCTGCTGGTTTTATGTAAAGGCTATACAGTAGACAGAATAGCGTTTTACAAACTTTCCCATAACCACCTACATGACAAGCAGATTTAATTTATTGTTAGCGTCTAGTCGCTGCTTGTTTAAAATGTGGCAATACAGGCTATTTCTCTACACGACAGAAAGATATTGGACTGGAATATGTATGTGTCTTGAACCAGGGTAGCTGTTACGACAAGCTCTCGAAACTACATTGCATTTGGCAAAAGCAGAGATTTACCCTCAGGCCCAGAGTTGATTAAAAAAAAATGAATTTTGATCGTACTGGGGTTTATGTTATATGTTGATGATATCCTCATTTCTCACATTAAGAAAATGTCAGGAATCGTTTGTATAATGTTTGATGCATAACATATAAGAATACAGACATTTTGGCGACTTGTTATTTCATATATTTAACATTATTACATTCCAGTTGTGCAACAACTGTGGCCTTTTAGAAATGTCAAATTGAGTGCATGGAGCCAAATAATTTACATACTCCGTAAAATACTATTTAGATTGTCACATAATGGATCAACTCTTTCACGTACAGTGCTTTACGCAATGCAGTAGATGCATGATACCAGAACCACACTACAGTCGTGGTCAAAGGTTTTGAGAATGACACACATATTAATTTTCACAAAGTCTGCTGCCTCAGTTTTTATGATGGCAATTTGCATATACTCCAGAATGTTATGAAGAGTGATCAGATGAATTGCAATTAATTGCAAAGTCCCTCTTTGCCATGAAAATGAACTTAATCCCCCAAAAACATTTCCACTGCATTTCAGCCCTGCCACAAAAGGACCAGCTGACATCATGTCAGTGATTCTCTCGTTAACACAGGTGAGAGTGTTGATGAGGACAAGGCTGGAGATCACTCTGTCATGCTGATTGAGTTAGAATAACAGACTGGAAGATTTAAAAGGAGGGTGGTGCTTGAAATCATTGTTCTTCCTCTGTTAACCATGGTTACCTGCAAGGAAACAGGTGCCGTCATCATTGCTTTGCACAAAAAGTGTTTCACAGGCAAGGATATTGCTGCTAGTAAGATTGCACCTAAATCAACAATTTATCGGATCATCAAATACTTCAAGGAGAGAGGTTCAATTGTTGTGAAGAAGGCTTCAGGGCACCCAAGAAAGTCCAGCAAGGGCCAGGACCGTCTCCTAAAGTTGATTCAGCTGCGGGATCGGGGCACCACCAGTGCAGAGCTTGCTCAGGAATGGCAGCAGGCAGGTGTGAGTGCATCTGCACGCACAGTGAGGCAAAGACTTTTGGAGGATGGCCTGGTGTCAAGAAGAGCAGCGAGGAAGCCACTTCTCTCCAGGAAAAACATCAGGGACAGACTGATATTCTGCAAAAGGTACAGGGATTGGACTGCTGATGACTGGGGTAAAGTCATTTTCTCTGATGAATCCCCTTTCCGATTGTTTGGGGCATCCGGAAAAAAGTTTGTCCGGAGAGGACAAGGTGAGCGCTACCATCAGTCCTGTGTCATGCCAACAGTAAAGCATCCTGAGACCATTCATGTGTGGGGTTGCTTCTCAGCCAAGGGAGTGGGCTCACTCACAATTTTGCCTAAGAACACAGCCATGAATAAAGAATGGTACCAACACATCCTCCGAGTGCAACTTCTCCCAACCATCCAAGAACAGTTTGGTGACAAACAATGCCTTTTCCAGCATGATGGAGCACCTTGCCATAAGGAAAAAGTGATAACTAAGTGGCTCGGGGAACAAAACATCAACATTTTGGGTCCATGGCCAGGAAACTCCCCAGACTTTAATCCCATTGAGAACTTGTGGCCAATCCTCAAAAGGCGGGTGGACAAACAAAAACCCACAAATTCTGACAAACTCCAAGCATTGATTATGCAAGAATGGGCTGCCATCAGTCAGGATGCGGCCCAGAAGTTAATTGACAGCATGCCAGGGCGGATTGTAAAGGTCTTGAAAAAGAAGGGTCAACACTGCGAATATTGACTCTTTGCATAAACTTAATGTAATTGTCAATAAAAGCCTTTGACACTTATGGAATGCTTGTAATTATACTTCAGTATACCATAGTAACATCTGACAAAAATATCTAAAAACACTGAAGCAGCAAACTTTGTGAAGACCAATACTTGTGTCATTCTCAACTTTTGACCACGACTGTACTTCCATGTAGAGGCTGTGCTTTTTGTCCTATAGCAACCTTGAAAGTAGATCTTAAATGTTTAATGAGATTAGGTTTGGAGATACATCTACATACAGTATAAGCACCACCATGTCCTGCTGGCTTGGAGCCAGGTGAATTAGTGCTGCAACAGGGAAAATGGTCACTGTGTGTGAGTGAGCGAGGTGCTTTAGTTTCCATGTTCCTCTGTTTGCACAGGAACCGGCTAACCTCACTGTCAACCCTTTCACTGCACTCCAAGCCTGGTGCTGCGTACCAACACTTAAGTGTGTATGTGTACAGGAGGCTGTTTGAGATCTGGCTAAATATGTTTGTTAAAACGCTATTTCCTACTAGGGACAAAAGGTGCCATTCCTGTGTGCAGTGTTTGCATACTGTGTATATAACTGACATCATCTGTCAAGACAAAGTTTTGCTTCCGGCCCTAGTCACATTATAACTTTTTTGCATAACTGGTCTGAGGATTGGCCAAGTGTTGAGTTGCTGGGCTATTCAGAGAAGTGTCAGTGTATTTTGAATCCTGTTCAGAGGCTGTTAGAACAAGCATAATACCTCCATCTCCTCTCGTCACATTTCCAGTGTACTGCTTCTACGAGAGTTTTTAGATTATCCAAGTCATAATTGTGGTAATCGCTGAAACTTTCACTAACTGACGAGCACAAAACCACTGCTTTTCACTTGGTAACAGTAGCTTAGAGGTGTAACAAGGTAGCTTTTATAACGAAAATATAGTTTGTATGTAACATTTTTCTCATCAAATGGCGCCTCTCTGTGCATCTCCCTTTTTCTGTCAGGTAAATGTGTGAAGATCCAGAGGAAGCAGGGCCTGTCGTCAGGCATGGACAGCGGCAGCAACAAGCACTCCCCCAGCAACAAAAGGAGCGGGGCCCCCAGCCCAGTGGCCCTTAGGCCCCTGAGAGACCGCATCATCCACGTCCTGGCCTTAAAGCCCTACAGGAAGCCTGAGCTGCTGTTGTGGCTGGAGAGGGAGAGGGCCAGTCCCAAGGACAAGACTGACCTGGGAACAGTACTGGATGAGGTGAGACCTGTAGAACACAACACGACACAACACTAAAATTGTACTCCGGCACTAGGCTGCAGATGCATGTACATGGTAGGCGCTGGTTTCACTAAGTGGAGATATAACTTAATAATGCACAACTTTTGCATATTGTATTCCAATTGTAATGCATTTGAAATGAATAAACAATCTATTTTGGTAAATGAAACATTTTAAAACATCACAGCAACTTTCACGTTGATAGAAAGGACAGGGTCTTTAAAAGTGCAATTCTAAATCCCTCCAGGGGTTCCTAATGGAAACACTGTAGAGTAGCCGCTCTGTCTCCATCGCTTGCTCTCTACAGCCACTCAGAAGCTAATGCTAATGGCTGCTTTTACAACCAAATGTTGAGCAGCTAAGTGATCTCAGTAGGTATATTTGAGGCGTGTTTCCTGTTCTGGGTATGTTTGGAAGTCCCAGTGCAGTCATACAAGGGGAGACTGTGTCGCTGCTGCCACTGCCTCTACTGGTAGCTGTAATTAGAGCTGTGCTTTAATTATGTCTGGAGGAGAAGACAGTGTTTCGACAGGGGAGGGTGGGGTGTCTCCAGCCAGGCCAGGACTGCTCTGACAAATGGATGTTGTCTGTCACAGAGGCACTCTGGGTAGACTAGATTTGGTACTGCATTTGTGACTAATTGGGCACAGTGCTAGTGTAACTGCTGTGTTTACTATCAATTACTTTAATGGTGAACAATGTATTATTGAACTTTGACAGCCTGCCAGTTGAGCCTTTCTTTTAACCGGGGTCAAAAGTGTATCTAATGCTACAGGGACAGAGGGTTCAAATGTGTTTGTCATTGATTTGCAGGTTGCTAAACTGAACCCCAAAGACCACAGCTTTACTCTGAAGGATGAGTTCTACAGGCACGTCCAGAAGGATTGGCCCGGTTACCTAGAGGAAGAGAAGCCTCTCATCCATAGGCTCCTGGCCAGGTGGGTGTGGCTTGTACTTCTACTCACCTGTCTTCTCTACCATCATATTCTCCTTCACATTTTCACCACTGAATATTTAAATATTTACCTGTATCAACATGATGTTGGTGTCATGGCGGAGAGTCCCCTAGTCTGTAGTTTATCTTCATTTAACCTTGTAAGCGTCAGTAATTGGATAATTACCTCTCCTCAGTAGCGGGGTGCTCTGATGCTTTTTGACAACGTGCTGGCATTGAGACTGCAGGCCCACTGGATTACTGTGGCAGGCCGCTGTGATCATGGTGAAAGGAGAGACTCTAAATGACTATTTCTCTGCACAGATGAATTTCTTAATGGACACATCAAAGTGGGGAGAGAAATATTCTCTGCTTGGTGTTGCCAAATAGCATTATTGTAGAGGAAGGTAGCCTGGCTGAGCTGTTCAGAATGAGAGAGTGGACGTCATCCCACGTTAAGTACGTGTCCTCTCCTGCCACTGGTCAGTTAGGGGGTGTGTTTCATAAGCTTTTTGGATGGTCCTCCTGCCTGCTTATTGTTTCCCTTCTGTTTACACTACTCAGATGTTCTAAAGAGAGCTCTGAATGGGAGTGGACAGGTTGTTTTGCTGCATGTACAGGATAAGGTAGCTGTTGATGTGGCTCATCAGTGTATGACCAATAGTTTTTGAGATCAGAGCCTTTCCCTATAGTTTATCCCAGAAAGTAACCATATTGCTGGAAGCCTAGTCTGTCAGAGGGTCTCATGTCTGGAATGTCCTGAAAGTCAGTGGTGCTTCCATCAGATTCCATTGATCATGTAGTTGAAAAGGTCATGTGGCTCCTGTGGGAGGTATGATTGAACTCTGATTCCAGTGAGGTTTCTGTGAGGAAGGAGCTGGAGGAAACAGATTGCCAGTTGAGAGAGGAGTGTTTGGCCTAACAGAGCCTGCATCTGGCACCATTGTTCTCCTCACTGAAGTGACTGGACACTGCTCTGTCTTAGTGCCTGCCTCTTGCAGATGTAATCTGTGTTCTGTAAACTAGAAACACTACAGACAGCTTAACACTTTGAAACATGCTGACAAACTTGTCAGTTTCACCCTGAGGTCAAGTGTAGATAATGGGAGTGTAACATCATCTGTCTGACAATGTGGTCTATTTGTTCTTATGCAATATTCATGTCAACAGCGGCGTCAAGGTGGGCTTTGCTTGTAATTGATGTACCTTGATCCTGAAGTTACAGTAACCAACTGGTTCTACCTGTTTTGTGTCATGTTTTCCTCTGTTAACATGGCCCCACTTCTCTCATTTCGCTGTAAACCATGCAGTTGGAGTTTGAACCATTATTTACTTAAGTGATAATGCCAGAGAAGTCGGTGTTTGGAGGATATATTGGCGCGGGTGTTGTTTGTCGAGGGCCGGAAAACCGTGGCAACATATCCTCCAAACACCGGCTTCACGGGCATTATCACTTTTATACAATGGGTTACCAACATATTAAAATAATGATTTACGTATTTTCATTAAAAACGTTATTTTTATTAATTTATTCATTCTATTTAATCCTTCCACAAGATAAAGTCCCGACACAAATCTAGGGTTGCTACCCAAACCGACTGTTCTATCGGTTCGGTTGCCAGAGTCGTTCAGTCTTTATGTTCTGTATCTATGGGCGCGACCCAGTCGTTCGTTCTAAGTGTTCCATTGCCATACTGGCTGGCAACATTTTTATCCCTCGCTTGCTAGCTAGCCAACTACGGCTAACTTACAGTCATGTCAAACACTAGTGCAGCCAGAATAACAACAAAGTAGCTGCATTTGCATTTGTTTAAGCTGTTTTCTAGTGACATTTATTTGGATACATCCATAACAATGAGCTAATGATGCGCAATTTCGCCTGCCGTAGAAAATGTGATCTCTGCTCAGGACACTGTTGTTCAGAGGAGCTAGCCAACAACACAGCTAACACAATCACTTTAAACTGAAGCTGGAAAGACTGCAAACTAGCTGCACTTCATTTCGTTTGACCTGTTTTCTATTGATAGTTCTTTGTATATATCCATAAAAATTATGCTGATTCATGATTTTGACTGGCTGAGAAAAGCTGCCTGCCTGTCTGTCTCATCCCGACTCGTTCAACATTACTATGGGACAGCTGGAGATCGAATTTGAATATTGAAACAATGTTGCAAATGTCGGAGAGACAGACAGCAAGGTTTATTCAAATCTCCGCTGTCAAAAACTAAATGTTAGTCTAAAATAAATGTGCGATAATGTCTAGATGCTTTTTATAGTGGATATCAAGTTTATAAATTGCCTGTCTAGACTGATGAGACAGTGGATTTCACAGTCAGATGGAACAGAGTAAATAGGCCTTTTAACGTCATAGATTTAGCCGGTGGTAACTTGTGGAATAGACACCGGCTGGAATGCGGTTTTAACCAATCAGCATTCGGGATTAGACCCACCCGTTGTATAAAAACAAATAAATCTGTCCAAAAATTAAGTTAAGCTTGAGTTATCTGCCCTAACATAAACATAATAGCAAAGTAAAAATGTCTTCCCCTTCTAATGTTGCAGGAAACTGCAGCCACTGAGCAGCAGTAGCCAGTTGAAGAGTTTCCAGTCAAACCATTCATTCCACAAAACCCCTGGGGATTCTCCGTCACAACTCAGCCCGGTCAAGACTCCCTCTGTGGTAAATACTCCCCTACCTAACTCTAAAAGAATTCCTACATCCTGCCCTTACTCATTGTTTATTTTCTTAAAAGCTTGAGATTGATTAGAAATAAAAGAGAATGCAGAGATTAATTTCAAGGGTTAAATGATTTCTGTTTGAATAGTGGATCAGTGTTATGCCTTTTGACTTGGGCCTACTGCAGAATAAGATTGAGTAAAGGAGGAATGAGAGGAACGTTTCTTGGTTTGGTCGCATCTGCTTTTTATTTATGGGAGTGCTGGAGGCAGTTCAGTCACTGACATTTTCAGGAGCCAGTTAGGATGTTTTAATGTAGCGGAGCCATTCCTTTCACATGTAGGGTATGTTGGTCTTTGCTAAGTAGTATTACAGGTAAAACCTCTTCTCTTCCCCTTCTCATAGAAACGCCCAGTGCCCTCAGACCTATCTGATTGTCAGACCCCCAAGAAGCAAAGACTATTAGACCACAGTTTACCGCTGCAGTCCCCTTCCAATGGACACCTTGGTCCCATTGGAGTCCTTAGCTCATCTGGTCCAGGCAACACCAGTGTACAGACCAAAACAGAGTTTGAGAGAACCAACAATCACGTCCAGGGAAGCCCTAATGGTCTCTACACACGGCATAAACTGGGTGGCTCCTCCAGTATTCCCAAGCTGGAGAGGACAGAGCCGGTCCTAGCAGTACCAAGCCCCAAGGCTCTACAGACTGAGTCCTCCATCTGCACTGACCAGCTGCTAGCCAACGGCCAGCACAAAAAGAAGAAGTCCAAGAAGCACAAAGACAAGGACCGGGAGCGCTTAAAACAGGACTGGATAGAGAACAGTCCCGACCTGAAACCGAACCAGGAAAATGTCAATGGTAAGAAAAGCACCATCTCATTCCCAATGTAATTTTCAACTAAATCTTATAATTTTGAGGCCTTGTTGACGGGAATGATAGCAGAAAAGAACATGTTGATAATGATACTGTAATGACATCAAAGGATATATTTACAGCACCTCTGGTCTATGACCACCTTGAAATCAGAGCAGTTTAATAATTTACAAGAACCACCTAATCAGTGTATTTGAGCCAACAAGATTACAGGAAAGACTGCCCAGTATTTGTATACATACGAATAAACACTCTCCATATACATAAACACTGTCATAAAAACGTTCCAGTATTATGAATCTTCAAAGGGATCGGTACCCAATAGGTTAGGTGACTTATCTAGATATACGGCTCACAGTGAATTGCTGTAGGTTTTAAACAGAGTGACAATAAATAAATGATCTGAAGAGCATTTCCAGTGGAAAGGGTGCTGTGTATGTAGCTTCCGTTAGCACCACCCATCCCTTTCCCTGGCTAGTGTGTAGATGATTGACTGTGGAACAGCTGGGTGACCCACGGTCCATCGAGTCAGCAGGCTGCTCTGCCTCGCAATCTGGGGCACTTCTGTAGCAGGTCTCGTATCAGTAGTAGTGATAAATGACTCCATCAGCCTTGGTATGATATGAGTTTTATCACGTTTGCATTGGCAGATTACATTAACCTTTTTTTCTCTGCTTCTTTTTATCTCCAGACCATGAGGGGGCTAAAACACCTGTCACTCGTACCTCACCGGAGGAGCTGCCCGACTATTTAATGTAAGTTCAAACACACTGCTTCATTCATAAGTCCTCCAGAATCGGGTTGCTGAGTTGTACTTCTAGGTTGATAAGTTATGTGAAACCCATTCAAGCTGTAAACATGGTACATGTGAAGCCAGTATGTGCTTTCAAATGCTCAGGTTCTGTTGCTGCCATCTGTTGCTTCAATGTTTTTGTTTAATGGTATGACTACTTTAGTCCCTTTTGTTGTGAAAGGAAAGTGATTTGTTCCAAAAGGTCTGGATTCGGCTTGAAAACATTCACATAAATAGTGGAAAATGTGGAAGTTTAAATGGTCTGTCAAATGTGCAATAATAACACAGCTTCACTGAGAATGACTTAAAAAAGGTGAGAGGCGCATGCGCGTACTGATAGGATGCATGGGGTGTGAGTAGCTCCGTTTTGTACTGACAAAACTGTGGTTATATGTACAAACCAGACAAAGTTTAAATCAAGCCTCTAAAATCGATAAATCAACACATCCCCTAGCAACTGGGAGAGTGTGAGTGATCAGTTATGTACAACAGCGAACCAATAAGTTGGTAAAGCGGCACGGTGACACGAGTCCAACAAGCCATGGCTTTCCCCAGAGGAAAAGACAAGGAGCAACTTGGAGATGCAAATGAGTGTAATGAACAGTTAAAGGCTATCCAGGAAAACATAGCTAAAATGCTCTCAATGCACAACAAAACAAACTTCTACAATATGTTATTACAAAATGAGATTAGCTCGAAAAGAAAGTAGAGGCTATCGTGTCAGTCACATGTGCATGAACGAACAAGACAACAAAATGTGCCTTTTGGAAACAAAGTTGCAAAATGTAGAAGATGAATTGGACGAAACAACATGAGAATTTTGTCCTTACCGGAAGAAGAGTAAAAAGGAGACCTTTCCAGCTAAGTGGTCAAACTGATATCAGAAGAACTTGACGTGGATATATCACCAGAAGATAGGAGAACGCTAAATACCCACGCCTGGTAATCTTCAAACTGTGGAACTATCGGTCAAAAATAAACATTCTGAGGTCACAGGGGGGAAAGGAGATCAAAATCCACGGCTGGTCCATTCGATTGGTCCAGGACCTGTCTGCTAGGATGAGAGAGACGCAAGGAATACATTCCGATCAGACAGACACTGGAGGAAAAGGGGATCAAGTCTCAGCTCCGCTTCCCGGCAGTGCTGTGGGTATCGAAGGGAATGCAAAGGATGGAATTCATAAGCGTCAGTGAATCCTTAATCAAGCTACAAGAAACCTTCCCAGTTGAAGGAGGATAGCCCCCTGCTCTGAGAAGAGGGCAAAGTAGGAAAAAACGATGAGCGCACTAGGCTACATACAGTGATGCCTAACACCAGTTTATCGTAAATTGAGACTATATCCTTCCCCCCCCCAATACAATCTATACTTTCTCCAAGTAATTTTTTTTCTCTATGAAGTAACGATAGAAGTAGCCGATGCCAATGGGCTACATGGACACTAAAAAGACCATTCAAAAGGGGAAATATAGTGTGTGTGAATGGGAGTGTGAGGGAAAGTGAGGGATGATGAATATGCATGGGAGAGAATGGGTGTGTGGATACATAGGATGGATGTTGGGGGGGAATAAATGAGAATGGATGAGTAAGTCGATGGATGGGTGTAAGTGTGTCAGAGGTATAATGTTTGGCATCAGACACTTTTTTTGAAGTATGTGTGGGGTCTCCGCTCATCTCACTTCAGTCTCTCGGTGGACCCACTCTCCCCAAGTAGAGCCCCACCAGCCACTATGCTTTAATTGAATTTACAAAGTAATACAAACTGACCACAATACTTAAGTGACAGTCTTTCTCCAATATATAAATGACATAATCCACAGTACATTAGGAGATGAGTTGGAGCTTAAAAGCACTAAAAAGAAAAACTTTGTTTTATGTTTTTTGTGTGTTCTCTGTTAAATGTCTGCTCAGTCCCACATGCCCACATGCTCTATACTGTATATGTAATGTCTAATAACTATGTATTCATACTATGACTCTCCCATTCCATGGATTGCCCATCGCCCTCATATGACATGTTATATCTGGTTCTTGAATGACAGACGGAACAGACAAGGTTAACTTAGATTTTATACAACTAAAGACCAACAAAATCCAATTTATTACATGGAATGTGCACAGGCTCCATGATGAAAACAACAACAACAAAAAGCATATGGTTCTTGAACACAGAGATTGTCAGCAGTTACATTTTTAAAAAAAATAAGAAATTGAATATTTAAAGAGGAGATAGGTTGGAGAGGCCTATGCTGCCACCTACTGTATCAATCTAATTCAATCACATTTATTTATAAAGCCCTTTTTACATCAGCAGATGTCACAAAGTGCTTATACAGAAACCCAGCCTAAAACCCCAAAGAGCAAGCAATGCAATGTAGAAGCATGGTGGCTAGGAAAAACTCCCTAGAAAGGCAGGAACCTAGGAAGAAACCTAGAGAGGAACCAGGCTCTGAGGGGTGGCCAGTCCTCTTCTGGCTATGCCGGGTGGAGATTATAAGAGTACATGGCCATTTAAGGCCAGATCGTTCTTCAAGATGTTCAAATGTTCATAGATGACCAGCAGGGACAAATAATAATCACAGTGGTTGTAGAGGGTGCAACAGGTCAGCACCTCAGGAGTAAATGTCAGTTGGCTTTTCATAGGTCGAGACAGCAGGTATGGTAGAGAGGGGGAGAGGGAGAGAGAGAGCACACGGACCAAGAAGGCCCAGCACACGGACCAAGAAGGCCCAGCACACGGACCAAGAAGGCCCAGCACACAGACCAAGAAGGCCGTTTTCTAATGTTGAATTGTACCTTTATATGGGGAAAAATACACATTGATTTAATTGTACAGTGGGGAGAACAAGTATTTGATACACTGCCGATTTTGTAGGTTTTCCTACTTACAAAGCATGTAGAGGTCTGTAATTTTTATCATAGGTACACTTCAACTGTGAGAGACGGAATCTAAAACAAAAATCCAGAAAATCACATTGTATGATTTTTAAGTAATTAATTTGCATTTTATTGCATGACATAAGTATTTGATCACCTACCAACCAGTAAGAATTCCGGCTCTCACAGACCTGTTAGTTTTTCTTTAAGAAGCCCTCCTGTTCTCCACTCATTACCTGTATTAACAGCACCTGTTTGAACTCGTTACCTGTATAAAAGACACCTGTCCACACACTCAATCAAACAGACTCCAACCTCTCCACAATGGCCAAGACCAGAGAGCTGTGTAAGGACATCAGGGATAAAATTGTAGACCTGCACGAGGCTGGGATGGGCTACAGGACAATAGGCAATCAGCTTGGTGAGAAGGCAACAACTGTTGGCGCAATTATTAGAAAATGGAAGAAGTTCAAGATGACGGTCAATCACCCTCGGTCTGGGGCTCCATGCAAGATCTCACCTCGTGGGGCATCAATGATCATGAGGAAGGTGAAGGATCAGCCCAGAACTACACGGCAGGACCTGGTCAATGACCTGGGACCACAGTCTCAAAGAAAACCATTAGTAACATACTATGCCGTCATGGATTAAAATCCTGCAGCGCACGCAAGGTCCCCCTGCTCAAGCCAGCGCATGTCCAGGCCCGTCTGAAGTTTGCCAATGACCATCTGGTTGATCCAGAGGAGGAATGGGAGAAGGTCATGTGGTCTGATGAGACAAAAATAGAGCTTTTTGGTCTAAACTCCACTCGCCGTGTTTGGAGGAAGAAGAAGGATGAGTACAACCCCAAGAACACCATCCCAACCGTGAAGCATGGAGGTGGAAACATCATTCTTTGGGGATGCTTTTCTGCAAAGGGGACAGGACGACTGCACCGTATTGAGGGGAAGATGGATGGGGCCATGTATCGTGAGATCTTGGCCAACAACCTCCTTCCCTCAGTAAGAGCATTGAAGTTGGGTCGTGGCTGGGTCTTCCAGCATGACAACGACCCGAAACACACAGCCAGGGCAACTAAGGAGTGGCTCCGTAAGAAGCATCTCAAGGTCCTGGAGTGGCCTAGCCAGTCTCCAGACCTGAACCCAATAGAAAATCTTTGGAGGGAGCTGAAAGTCCGTATTGCCCAGCGACAGCCCCGAAACCTGAAGGATCTGGAGAAGGTCTGTATGGAGGAGTGGGCCAAAATCCCTGCTGCAGTGTGTGCAAACCTGGTCAAGACCTACAGGAAACGTATGATCTCTGTAATTGCAAACAAAGGTTTCTGTACCAAATATTAAGTTCTGCTTTTCTGATGTATCAAATACTTATGTCATGCAATAAAATGCAAATTAATTACTTAAAAATCATACAATGTGATTTTCTGGAGAAAAAAAATTGATTCCGTCTCTCACAGTTGAAGTGTACCTATGATAAAAATTACAGACCTCTACATGCTTTGTAAGTAGGAAAACCTGCAAAATCGGCAGTGTATCAAATACTTGTTCTCCCCACTGTATATCCCACCAGGGGCAAATCTGGTGTTTAGATAGAATTCAAGCTAAATTAGATCAAATCCTGACAATAACTATTATTCTAGCAGGTGACTGAAATCATATGTTCGATAAGATTGACAGACGTAGTAACAAAAAATACTAATTCAAGGAGCTTCCAATGAGGCTGAAATGTACTACATTTTGTTCTTCTAAATATGCTCTCAACAATTTACTGGGTTCAAAAATCCATGACCTAGTGATATCGGATCATTCTCCGGTATCATGCTTAATTACTCCAACAGAAAATACAATTAGCAACAGAATATGGAGAATGAACAGTGCGCATCTTCAAGTCACGAAAATGTATTAAATTCATAAATAAATAAATAAAAACTTTTCCATTACAAATGTAGACATAGATGACAGAGAAAAGCCGACCCCCGATATATATCTGGGTTGCTTTTAAGGCGTACATTAGGGGGAATGATAATCTCATACTCTGTGAAAGTTAAATCTGAGTTAGAAATGTAAATTAAAGGAAAATAAATCCCAATAATAAAAAAATAGCCCATTAAAAAAAATCTTTACAATGTAAAGAAGAAAATAAACATGTCAGAATTTAAGCAGCGATTATATTTTACTTTTGTAGAGCGACTACAGGTTAAACTCAAATAAAGCATACTAATTAATGGCAATTAAACATGGTAAACATCTCTCAGCCCTCACAAAATGAATACACCATTTTAAAAGATAAAGATCAAAATGTGTTAATTAGAAACAATGTGATTTAATGACAATTTTAAAAGCGTCTATGAAAATCGATATAAATCAGAATTAAACAACTGTTGGACTGATCCTACAGCCTTCATAGACTCAACAACCCTGAAGCATTTATCAGCAGACATAAAATAATCACTAAAAGAAAAGATCACCCAAAATGAAATATTAGATACTGTTAAAGCATTTGCGCAGAGAAAAGCACCAGGAATGGATGACTTTCCCATAGAATTCTATTTAACATTTTAGGACAAAGTAGCGCCCCTATTTACACAAATGACAACACACGTCAGTCAATTCAGTGCTTCCTAGTTCTATGTATCAAATGGTTATTTCAGTTATATTAAAACGAGGAAAATCTGGAGAATCCCCTGCTGGTTACAGACCCATAAGTTTAATAAATTGTGACAATAAAATAATAACAAAGCTCATAAGCAATACAATGGCAAAAGTCTTACCAGACTTGATACATATCAATCAAACAGGGTTTATTAAAAATAGACACAAATACAAGAACATGTTTCAGTTTAATACATACAATACGCTAAAAAACAAGATATAGATTGATCAATAATGGCTGTTGATGCCGAAAAGTATTTTGACCGTCTTGAATGGTCTTTCTATTCAAAACTTTGGAAGCTTTCAACTTTACAGCAAAAAATACAAATAAAAATGACAATATTATATAAATGTCCTAAAGCAAAAATATACACAAATCATACATTATCTGATGAAATGGCTTTAGAAAGGGGCACAAGACAGGATGTCCCCTCTCCCCCCTCCTGTTTGCACTGGCAATTGAACCGATTGCAGAAAGAATTAGACAGGGCTCAAACATAACAGGTATCAGTATTGGTAAACATGAATATAAACTAAACTTATTTGCAGATTATCTCCTGATATATCTGACCACTATTGAAAACTCAATGCCCCCCTTGCTAAAAATATTTTCAGAATACTCTAAAATCTCAGGATATAAAATGAACGTGGAAAACCCCCGAAATAATGGCAATATGAAAAATAATAACTCATGATCTTCAGCAATCCTTTAAGTGGACCACAAAAAATATAAAATACTTAGGATGCTTAATAAGTTACAACAAATATATAAAGATAACTTTGTCCCATTACTCAACAATATGGAAACAGATCTAATTAAATGGAACAATCTTCCCATAAATCTTACAGGTAGAATAAACCTCTTCAGAATGATCTGGCTCCCAAAGTTTGTATATTTATTCTCGGTAATAGCAATTACCCCACCGAAGACATTATTTTAAAAAGTATAATCGGTCATAACAGACTTGAAATGGGCAAATAAAACTCATAAAATAGGAAGATGTAAAACTTTCCTTTTTAAGTCTGAGGGTGTGTTTTAACCTTCCAGACTTGGAATTGTATCAATTGTATCAATTTACTTGCGACCATATAGTTAAATGCACTACAGAAGAACAATGGGTACATATTGAAGATGCGCATGCTCATCTTTTCACTTGTCTATTTTCAAAGGATAAAGCTAAGAACATTAAGAACTTCTTAGTTAAGAACACTATAACAATATGGAAAAAAATTAAACTTATTCTACAAGAGCCAATATCACTCCCTAGAAACACAACCCTATGGAACAATCCTTGGATAGCTTTTCGTAATTCTCCGATAAATTGGTCCACATGGAAAACTAAAGGCATAGTAACCGTAAATGTTTTTTTTTTGTAGGGGGTAGATCAGCTTTAATATTGCAGATAGATTGTAACTTCCATCAATGTAATTGTCTGCATCACTTCCAATCCCCCATATATATTTTTTCGCATATACACTACCTTTCAAAAGTTTGGGGTCACTTAGAAATGTCCTTGTTTTCGAAAGAAAAGTATATTTTTTGTCCATTTAAAATAACATCAAATTGATCAGAAATACAGTGTAGACATTGTTAATGTTGTAAATGGCTATTGTAGCTGGAAACGGCTGATTAAAAAAAAATGGAATATCTACATAGGCGTACAGAGGCCATTATCAGCAACCATCTGTGTTCCAATGGCACGTTGTGTTTGCTAATCCAAGTTTATCATTTTTAAAGGCTAATTGATCATTAGAAAACCCTTTCGCAATTATGTTAGCACAGCTGAAAAAGTTACTTTCCAACCCCACCACCCCTCCCCTAATTGGAGTAAACTAGTGGACAACAACGCTTAGGCCTCTACTTCCAGCTTATACATACTATATACATTTTATGGACACAGTCAATTTTACAATAGTTCTATTTTGTTAGTTTTTACTCCTGAACTTCATCTACCCTCAACCTCTCCGATCATTTTCATGATGTCCATCCGGTTTGCTTCTATATGTCATATCTTTCAAACTGTGCTTTTTCACAAAAGTTCTTAACCTATAACCTATATACTTATTATGGACATAGTATGTTTTACATTAGTTATCTTGTTGTTATTAGTTGTTATTAGTCCCAACCTTCAGCTCCATTCAACCCCTCCCATTCAACCGTAAATGACTTGGTAATAGGAAATACATTTATTTCCATTACAGAATTCAGAAGCAATTTTAGACTGTCCACTGTAGATATTCTTAAATACATGCAACTTAAAAGTTTCATATCACGAAATTTCGATTTGAAATCTTTTGGACATCAGAGCAATCTTGAGGGAATCTTATTTGAGTCAGAAGATGATATTCATATGATGCACTATATATACAAAAGTATCTGGACACCCCTTCAAATTAGTGGATTTGGCTATTTCAGCCACACTCTTTGCTGAGAGGTGTATAAAATCGAGCACACAGCCATGCAATCTCCATAGACAAACATTGGCAGTAGAATGGCCTTACTGAAGAGCTCAGTGACTTTCAACGTGGCACCATCATAGAATGCCACCTTTCCAACAAGTCAGTCCGTCAAATTTCTGCTCTGCTAGAGCTGCCCCGGTCAACTGTAAGTGCTGTTATTGTGAACTGGAAATGTCTAGGAGAGACAACGGCTCAGCCTTGAAGTGGTAGGCCACACAAGGTCACAGAATGGGACCGCTGAAGCGTGTAGAAATCGTCTGTCCTCGGTTGCAACACTCACTACAGAGTTCCAAACTGCCTCTGGAAGCAACATCAGCACAATAACTGTTTGTCGGGAGCTTCGTGAAATGGGTTTCCATAGCCGAGCAGCCGCACACAAGCCTAAGATCACCATACGTAATGCCAAGTGTCGGCTGGAGTGGTGTAAAGCTCGCCGCCATTGGACTCTGGAGCGGTGGAAACGCGTTCTCTGGAGTGATGAATCACGCTTCACCATCTGGCAGTCCGACGGACGAATCTAGGTTTGGCGGATGCCAGGAGAACGCTACCTGCCCCAATGCATAGTGCCAACTGTAAAGTTTGGTGAAAGAGGAATAATGGTCTGGGACTGTTTTTCATGGTTCGGGCTCCTTAGTTCCAGTGAAGGGAAATCTTAATGCTACAGCATACAATGACATTCTAGATGATTCTGTGCTTCCAACATTGTGGCTACAGTTTGGGGAAGGCCCTTTCCTGTTTCAGCAAGACAGTGCCCCCGTGCACAAAGCGAGGTCCGTACAGAAATGGTTTGTCGAGATCGGCGTTGAAGAACTTGACTGGCCTGCACAGAGTCCTGACCTCAACCCCATCAAACACCTTTGGGATAAATTGGAATGCCGACTGCGAGCCAGGCCTTATCGATAAACATCAGTGCCCGATCTCACTAATGCTCTTGTGGCTGAATGGAAGCAAGTCCCCGCAGCAATGTTCCAACATCTAGTGGAAAGCCTTCCCAGAAGAGTGGAGGCTGTTATAGCAGCAAAGGGGGGACCAACTACATATTAATGCCATGAATGAGATGTTTGACGAGCAGGTGTCCACATACTTTTGGTCATGTAGTGTAGGTAAGATATACAAAGCTTTGCAGAGAGCCTATCCAACTGACAATCTCTTAGAAAAAAATATATAAACTATTGGAACCAAGACTTTAAAATAACTGATATTGGCACAAGCTGGAGGGAATGTTGGAACATAACTAACGAAACTACAGTTAACGAAAATGTACACTTAATCCAGTATAAACTAATGTATAGAATTTATACACATTTTACAGCACAATGGCGGAGTCCATGTCTTAAGTGTAAAACTAACAATGACTCAATCCATGCCTTCTGGGAATGCTATAAAGTCCGAAAGTTATGGGTGGCGTTAGAAAGTTGGCTATCAGAAGTATTACAATGTAAATGTACTTTTAATCCGTCTGTCTGCATATTTCAAGACATGCATATGAGTGAGCAGTGAGATTCCCGACGGGTTGGACGATACTTTTCTTATCAATCATCTTGACAAAACATATACTTAAACTCAATGGAAAGGTAAAATGCTTTATTATCTAAATGTTGAAAGTGTGTGGGCGACGGAGAGAAACAAAATGGGGGGGGGGGGTTTGGTAGGTCCGATGTCGTTGATGTTTGTGTGCATCTGTATGCTGTCGTTTTTATGTGTAGGTTTTGTGTTATAAAATAAAATAAGAGAGTGACTTAGAAAACAAATGATCTAGGAGCAGCAGGTAGCCTAGCAGTTAAGTTCGTTGGGCTGGTAACCAAAAATGTGCTGGTTCGATTCCCCGAGCCAACTTGGTGTCGATGTCCCCTTGAGCAAGGCACTTAACCCTAATTGCTCCAGGGTCGCCATCTATAAATGGCAGATCCCTGGCCGTGACCCCACTCTCTGAGGGTGTCTCAGGGGGAGTGGAATATGCGAAAAACAAATGTCCAATTCACATGTGTATAATACACACTTGTACAAGAAATGGGACAAATGTGAGCACCTAATTATTAGGATCTAATGTCTTACATTTCTACATCTTGTGAACAAATCTCTTTGTGAAGTCATTGGGGAGTCATAGGCCATCACTCTGCTAATCTGCAGTGCCACCTGCTGGAAAGAACAATGAATGTTTATATTTCTACCTCCTGATGTGGCCATTCCACGTTGCCTGTCAGAGCTGGCCAGACCAGACCATAGTGGATGCATGCCATGCACCTGTGGTTGTTGAAATTACAGCTCACAAGATGTTGGTCTCTCTTTCCAGAAAGTACAACACCATCACAGCCTCAGAACAGCGACAACAGTACAAGCAGGATTTCTGTGCAGAGTACGATGAGTACAGGGCCCTGCACGACCGGATCGGTACTATCACTGAGATGTTTGTTCAGCTGGGTTCCAAGATAAACACACTGTCCCCCGGTACACAGGAATACAAGGTATGAGCAAGGAACTGACATCACTTCCACACACACCACAAAACACTTCTGGTTAAACAGTTGAAGACCTGGCTTCATGTACTTTCAAGGATTTACTAAATGTCTTGTATTTTTCCACCCTTACAGCTCATGGAGGAACAAATACTGCAGAAATATAGAAAGTATAAGAAAGTAAGTAATGCATGAGCAGCAAATATCATGTAATTATTGTATAGCCTGTCTTCTGCTAAATGACGTAAATGTAATGTAATGTTATCTACTGTAGCCTATATGCCTGTATGGATATCACAAATAACTTTAACTGATACCAGTGATATGAATCTAATTAGAATCGGACAACTTTTCCCATATACAGTGGGGGAAAAAAGTATTTAGTCAGCCACCAATTGTGCAAGTTCTTCCACTTAAAAAGATGAGAGGCCTGTAATTTTCATCATAGGTACACGTCAACTATGACAGACAAAATGAGAAAAAAAAATCCAGAAAATCACATTGTAGGATTTTTAATGAATTTATTTGCAAATTATGGTGGAAAATAAGTATTTGGTCAATAACAAAAGTTTCTCAATACTTTGTTATATACCCTTTGTTGGCAATGACACAGGTCAAACGTTTTCTGTAAGTCTTCACAAGGTTTTCACACACTGTTGCTGGTATTTTGGCCCATTCCTCCATGCAGATCTCCTCTAGAGCAGTGATGTTTTGGGGCTGTCGCTGGGCAACACGGACTTTCAACTCCCTCCAAAGATTTTCTATGGGGTTGAGATCTGGAGACTGGCTAGGCCACTCCAGGACCTTGAAATGCTTCGTACGAAGCCACTCCTTCGTTGCCTGGGCGGTGTGTTTGGGATCATTGTCATGCTGAAAGACCCAGCCACGTTTCATCTTCAATGCCCTTGCTGATGGAAGGAGGTTTTCACTCAAAATCTCACGATACATGGCCCCATTCATTCTTTCCTTTACACGGATCAGTCGTCCTGGTCCCTTTGCAGAAAAACAGCCCCAAAGCATGATGTTTCCACCCCCATGCTTCACAGTAGGTATGGTGTTCTTTGGATGCAACTCAGCATTCTTTGTCCTCCAAACACGACGAGTTGAGTTTTTACCAAAAAGTTCAATTTTGGTTTCATCTGACCATATGACATTCTCCCAATCCTCTTCTGGATCATCCAAATGCACTCTAGCAAACTTCAGACGGGCCTGGACATGTACTGGCTTAAGCAGGGGGACACGTCTTGCACTGCAGGATTTGAGTCCCTGGCGGCGTAGTGTGTTACTGATGGTAGGTTTTGTTACTTTGGTCCCAGCTCTCTGCAGGTCATTCACTAGGTCCCCCCGTGTGGTTCTGCGATTTTTGCTCACCGTTCTTGTGATCATTTTGACCCCACGGGGTGAGATCTTGCGTGGAGCCCCAGATCGAGGGAGATTATCAGTGGTCTTGTATGTCTTCCATTTCCTAATAATTGCTCCCACAGTTGATTTCTTCAAACCAAGCTGCTTACCTATTGAAGATTCAGTCTTCCCAGCCTGGTGCAGGTCTACAATTTTGTTTCTGGTGTCATTTGACAGCTCTTTGGTCTTGGCCATAGTGGAGTTTGGAGTGTGACTGTTTGAGGTTGTGGACAGGTGTCTTTTATACTGATAACAAGTTCAAACAGGTGCCATTAATACAGGTAACGAGTGGAGGACAGAGGAGCCTCTTAAAGAAGAAGTTACAGGTCTGTGAGAGCCAGAAATCTTGCTTGTTTGTAGGTGACCAAATACTTATTTTCCACCATAATTTGCAAATAAATTCATAACAAATCCTACAATGTGATTTTCTGGATTTTTTTTATTCTCATTTTGTCTGTCATAGTTGACGTGTACCTATGATGAAAATTACAGGCCTCTCTCATCTTTTTAAGTGGGAGAACTTGCACAATTGGTGGCTGACTAAATACTTTTTTCCCCCACTGTACTACATGCCCCTCTGCCTTGACCATGTCACCATAATGCCAGCTCTCTGACACCCCTCTGCCTTGTCTTTGCAGAAGTTCCCTGGTTACCGGGAAGAGAAGAAGCGATGCGAGTATCTGCATCAGAAACTTTCCCACATCAAAGGTCTGATCCTGGACTATGACCGTACCCAGGCCCCTTCATAGTGACTGGCCTGCACCCTGCTGCCCCAGGGTGTTACTGTATCAATGGCCCAAAAGACTCCCCGTGGACCAAATGACTGCCCAGCCAAGCCTGTGTCCTGGAGTGACCTGGAATCACATGAATCACACATTCACTTTACTCCTCCCAGTGTTGATGGGAGAGGGGAGCGATGTTGTCTTATATGAAGTGGGCCAAGACCAGCAACTCGTGAGCAAATAAAACCCTTTAATGTTTTCGTTGTTGAGGGCGGGTGTTGTAATGACTGGAATTTGTTGTGGCGCATAAATCATAAGATGACACAACTTAAGCCAAATTCCTTTTTCTACCCATAATGCAAAATGTACATGAACTCTCCTGCCCAAATGCTTTTAACGTTTGGTCTATTGTCATGACTACACACAAAGGCATATTGGTTTGATGGTACAATCATAAGGACAGATGACAACAAATGCTCTTCATACCCAGTCTTATATCAATGCTATATTTAAGTACCCAGTACAATTTGTGGTTTGCTGTTTCACTGAATGTCTAGATGTAAAATGGTATATCAAAATAATGATATAAAATCTTGATTCCTATAGAGAGGGTTGTAATCACTGGATTAAGATTAGTAAAAGATGGAAGATATTTAATGTTCTGTGGAAATATCTTAGACCTGAATTCTAGGCCATATCCCTGCCATTGTTGATGTCCCAGGCAGAATACAAATGCGGTAGACTATGTATGCAGAACTGCTGAACAGCTGCTATTAAGAAGAAGATTATTGTAACTGTAAAACGGTAGGAGTGGTTTCAGGTATTGATACATAATTAAACAACAATACAAAATTACAAAGAAAAATACTGTACATGATTTGACAATTAGCCAAGACATTAACAAAAAACGTGTTTGGTAAATGCTCCAATTGGTCACAATATTAAGTACACTTGAACTTGTTGTTCATTTCAATCAGTATTGATAAGGCTCTATTATTTGCGTAGACTTTTTCTACTTTTCACATGATAAACAGAAAACATCTACAACTATTGATAGTGTTAATCATTAGAACCTTTGAAACGTATATCTCATTCTATAACCACACTGTTTGTTACAGAAACATTTCACAAATGTTTTAAAGCGCTGGAGAAATACTGCCTTCTAGGCGATGTCACTGCCATTGGTGAAGACCCAGGCAGAGTACAAAATGTAGACTATCTAGAAAATGCAGTAGACTATGTATGCTGAACAGCAGCTATTAAGAGGAATATTGTAACTGTAAAAAGGTAGGAGTGGCCTAAACATAATGTTCTGTGGAAATGTCTTAGACCTCTATGAACATGAATTTAACTGTTTGTGCTGATAATTGATCTCTTTGTTAAAGTTAATGAGACAGTGCATGTCATTAATCGGACATGCCAGTCAAACATCCTATACATCTGCCTCTGACCCAAACATCACATTCTGTCTGTGGTTCATGTTGGCAGTAATTAAGGCATTCTGCTTCATCAAATATGGGCAAGGGGAACTGCCCCCTGACATGTGTAGGATAGAGGAAAGTGCCATCATAGTCATACAGTATACTCCCATGTTTCTGTTTAAAACACTACATTGTTACTGAAAGAACACTATTCTGAATAAGAACTGCAATCCAACTCCAAGAGCATAATTAGTAGAAGATTTGTCAAGATTGTTGTGGCATTCTATTACCTACTTACCCTTCTGGATAAATGGTTCTCATTGTTTGAGCCAGTATGCTCTGACCTTTGATGGTAATAAAGTTCATACAATTTTAACAAATCTTTTATTACCTCGATCAATAGTCCATTACATTTGTGAGACTGGGTGGAATACCAGATCATTTAACAGTACTTCATGAAGCCCTTTTTATAAGCTTGTGCTTGTGTATCAGTCCAGCAAGAAACATAGGTTTGTGTCCATGCAGTGATGAAAAGTAATGCCTTACAGCTTCTGGTGTCTGCTGATTTCAACCTGATTTAGGGCCTCAGAAATAAGATTGTCCATCCAGTAGATCAGAGATGAATCGTAGTTCAAAGATGAGCTCTCACAGATCTATTTTCTGACGTGTGTGAACTTCTTCACTCTTGCTGTCGACACTGCTTTGTAGGAAAATACTGTGCTAACCGGTGGTATTTCATTGTGTTGCTGTAGCAGTTCACTAGATTTCACCTACACAAAACTATATATAGATTGCCAAGATAGGACAGTTTATTTTCAGTTTGAAACAGTGAATGTTCCATTCCAACATATGGATGTATTGGAGTAAATGCCTTTCAACAAACTGGACCACATTAACTTAACCTCGCTGGATGTACCATCACCTGGGATTTCATACAGTTCATTATCTGTGGCTTGAAGATATATATAACACACACACACACAGTACCAGTAAGACGTTTGGACACACTTACTCATTCAAGGGTTTTTCTTTATTTTTAGTATTTTCTACATTGTAGAATAGTAGTAGAGTAATTGTAGAATAATAGTGAAGACATCAAAACTATGAAATAACACATATGGAATCATGTAGTAACCAAAAAAGTGTTAAACAAATCTAAATATATTTTATATTTGAGATTCTCCAAAGTAGCCACCCTTTGCCTTGATGACAGCTTTGGACACTCTTGGCATTCTCTCAACCAGCTTAACCTGGAATGCTTTTCCAACAGTCTTGAAGGAGTTCCCACATGCTGAGCACTTGTTGGCTGCTTTTCCTTCACTCTGCAGTCCAACTCATCCCAAACCATCTCAATTGGGTTAAGGTCGGGTGATTGTGGAGGCCAGGTCATCTGATGCAGCACTCCATCACTCCTTCTTGGTCAAATAGCCCTTAAACAGCCTGGAGGTGTGTTGGGTCATTGTCCTGTTGAAAAACAAATGATAGTCCCACTAAGCCCAAACCAGATAGGATGGCGTATTGCTGCAGAATGCTGTGGTAGCCATGCTGGTTAAGTGTGTCTTGAATTCTAAATAAATCACAGACAGTGTCACCAGCAAGCACCCCCACACCATCACACCTCCTCCTCCATGCTTCACGGTGGGAACCACACATGCGGAGATCATCCGTTCACCTACTCTGCGTCTCACAAAGACATGGCGGTTGGATCCAAGAATCTCCAATTTGGACTCATCAGACCAAAGGACAGATTTCCACCGGTCTATTGTCCATTGCTAGTGTTTCTTGGCCCAAGCAAGTCTCTTATTATTATTGGTGTCCGGATTGATTGACCTTCATGTCATAAAGTAATGATGGACTGTCATTTCTCTTTGCTTATTTGAGCTGTTCTTGCCATAATATGGACTTAGCCCTATTTGGTAAAATACCATCTTCTGGATACCACCCCTACCTTGTCACAACACAACTGATTGGCTCAAATGCATTAAGAAGGAAATAAATTCCACAAATTAACTTTTAAGAAGGCACACCTGTTAATTGAAATGCATTCCAGGTGACTACCTCATGAAGCTGGTTGAGAGAATGCCGAGAGTGTGCAAAGCTGTCAAGGCAAAGGGTGATTACTTTGAAGAATCTCAAAATATATTTGGATTTGTTTAACACTTTTTTGGTTACTACATGATTCCATATGCGTTATTTCATAGTTTTGATGTCTTCACTATTATTCTACAATGTAGAAAATAGTAAAAATTAAAGAAAAACCCTGGAATGAGGTGTGTCCAAACTATACAGTGCCTTCGGAAAGTATTCAGACCCCTTGACTTTTTCCACATTTTGTTAAGTTACAGCCTTATTGTAAAATGAAATCTACACACAATACCCCATAATGACAAAGCAAAAACAGGTTTTTAGACATTTTTGCAGATGTATTAAAAATAAAAATAAACATACCTTATTTACATAAGTATTCAGACCCTTTGCTATGATACTCGAAATTGAGCTCAGGTGCATCCTGTTTCCATTGATCATCCTTGATGTTTCTAGAACTTGATTGGAGTCATACCTGTGGTAAATTCAATTGATTGGACATGATTTTGAAAGGCACACACCTGTCTATATAAGGTCCCACAGTTGACAGTGCATGTCAGAGCAAAAACCAAGCCATGAGGTCGAAGGAATTGTCCGTAGAGCTCCGAGACAGGATTGTGTCGAGGCACAGATCTGGAGAAGGGTACCAAAACATTTCTGCAGCATTGAAGGTCCCCAAGAACACAGTGGCCTCCACCATTCTTAAATGGAAGACATTTCCTAGAGCTGGCCGCCCGGCCAAACAGAGCAATTAGGGGAGAAGGGCCTTGGTCAGGGAGGTGACCAAGAACCCGATGGTCACTCTGACAGAGCTCTAGAGTTCTTCTGTGGAGATGGGAGAACCTTCCAGAAGGACAACCATCTCTGCAGCACTCCAATCAGGCCTTTATGGTAGAGTGGCCAGACGGAAGCCACTCCTCAGTAAAAGGCACATGACAGCCCGCTTGGCGTTTGCCAAAAGGCATCTAAAGACTCTCAGACCATGAGAAACAAGATTCTCTGGTCTGATGAAACCAAGATTCAACTCTTTGGCCTGAATGCCAAGCGTCACGTATGGAGGAAACCTGGCACCATCCCTACGTCGAAACATGGTGGTGGCAGCATCATGCTGTGGGGGTGTTTTTCAGCGGCAGGGACTGGGAGACTAGTCAGGATCAGGGCAAAGATGAATGGAACAAAGTATAGAGGGATCCTTGATGAAAACCTGCTCCAGAGCGAAGGTTCACCTTCCAACAGGACAACAACCCTAAGCACACAGCCAAGACAACGCAGGATTGGCTTCGGGACAAGTCTCTGAATGTCCTTGAGTGGCCCAGCCAGAGCCCGGACTTGAACCCAATTGAACATCTCTGGAGAGATCTGAAAATAGCTGTGCAGCAACGCTCCCCATCCAACCTGACAGCGCTTGAGAGGATCTGCAGAGAAGAATGGGAGAAACTCCCCAAATACAGAGGTGCCATGCTTGTAGTGTCATACCCAAGAAGACTCTAGGCTATAATTGCTGCCAAAGGTGCTTCAACAAAGTACTGAGTAAAGGGTCTGAATACATATGTAAATGTGATATTTCTGTTTTTTATTAGTAATGTTTTTGCTTTGTCATTATGGGGTATTGTGTGTAGATTGAGGGAAAAAAACAATTTAATCAATTTTTGAATAAGGCTGTAACATAACAAAATGTGGAAAAAGTCAAGGGGTCTGAATACTTTCCGAAAGCACTGTGTGTGTGTGTGTGTGTGTATGTGTATATATATATATATATATATATATATATATATATATATATATATTCAGAGACAGTGACTACTCCTAAACAGTATTGAAGTCAATATGACTGTCTGTGTACACTGTCTTGCTACTTAATTGCTGTCTTAAGATGGGTGTAAATAGGAAGATAAGAGTTCATTTTGCCTTAACATACCCATCAAACATTTCCATGTCTCTGATATTTTTTTATCTGCACATATGCAGATGTTTCAGGATCATGTATTTTAGTTCACTTATTTTTAGGTTTAAGGAATTGCTGAATTTAAGTTAATGGATGTTTTCAATATTGTGTGTTATGTCAGAGCATTTTTTAAGTGTTAGAGTACAATGTTGATGTATTCCTCCTCTACCATGTGAGTCCTTAGTCTTGCTAACATCAGTGAGTCACAGCTTGCTGTGTAGTCACGTGTCAGCCAGGCTAATGAGTGTCCGTATCGCGGAAATTCAACATTCCAGCATGATTGAAATGTAAAGGCAATGTTCCCGCGTCAGCGGAGACTGCATTCACAGTAATCGCTGCATATTGAAATTCAACGTTACAGCGCGATTGAAATTTAAAGGCAATGTTCCAGCATTAGTGGAGACTGTATTTAAGGGTAATTGCTGCATATGTCAGCTCAACCAGAAATTACCTTTACATTTCTATCACGCAGCCTGTAACGCTTCAGCGATACAGATTAAATAGAGCCCCTAATCCTTTTGTGTTTGTCATAGGTTAATTTCTGTTCATTTTCCTCATCCATATGAGTCTGTGGATCTTTTTGATAATCATGAACAGAGTACAAAAAATAATTGTGATTGTGTTAAGGGCCTTTGCTCATCCAATACAATTCTGCACCACTGTCACAAACCACCTGGTTCTAGCGCTATGTATAAGTGTCTGAAAGGTCTGTCAGAAGTGCTTGACTCAACTAGATTCATCCCTGACATGTAAATGTCGGGAGTTCTTCTGTCACAGTTTGGTTTATTTTTTTATTGTTGAATTCTAAATGTCCTAAATGAAATGTATGCTACTGTGGTATTCTGGAAAGCACATGATCAGATATGAGACCAGCATAGACCACTGTCTCTTTGTGTGCAGTATTGGACTGAGCCAGAGGCTGGTCATCTGAATAAGTGCTAATTGTGATATATGCAGAGTTAGCTAGGTGCCTTCTAATAGGAAAATCTGAGTCACATTGGTGTTTACATAATGTTCATATCTATCATAATTGAGATTATTGCATAACATGCAGTTGAAACCAAATGTATGCACTCAATTTATTGGTCCCTAAATTGTATTTTTCATGTGTAGGGCTACAGATTTGTGGCTAAAGGTCCTTAACTGTTGACACCCACAATGTGCTCTTGAACGATAATCTGCATACTGCTTACAAATCAAACAACTCTAGGATTATTTTAAGGTAATTGTTTTGCTTTGGCTGTTTGCGTTTACTTTGTTGATATTGGTAAATTAAATGTCTCAATAGAAATGTGAAATTAAATCTCTTGTCCTGTATAAGTCACTTCAGTCTACCTATGAGAACAAATTTGTGTAACTATTTATTGCTTTTAATGTTTTCTTTTTTTGGTTCCTCCTTTGCACAATTTTCTCAGTCTATTAAAGGCAGACAAAAAGCCTCTCCTTGGCAAAAGGGAAATGGAATATATATTTTTGCAATTTTCAGTGGGGGATGCTTTATCACCACCTGTTCCTCTAGAAAAAGCCTACAAAATGTATTGTCTCTGTAAAAATAAAGTATAATGCTCTTTTCATCAAGTATTGAGTTTTTAAAAATTCCTATATTTTCTTAAGGTGGCGATGTTGCAGCACTTTTATTGGAATTCCTTGCACCACAAACTGATATTATAGGCCATCTACATCATCTTGAATAGTGACTGTACATCACACAGTTCTCTACTTTAGTCAAAATGTCAATATAGTTTAGATAAAATCAATTAAGCAAAGGAGGACAAATATTCACCATGTTTGAATTCTGCATCCCTCAAGATGCACTTATATTCCAGATCCTTGAGACATTTTCCAAATCATCAAAATAACCTTGGTTATTGTCTTATAATGCAATAATGGATTACTTTGAACTTTTGCAATCTAATAAAAAAGCGCATTTCAACCCCAAATTATCATCCATCTACTTTCAGTGTTTCAATATGTTTCAGTCCCATGGGCCCCATTCATCAAACATGCTTGATTTGTAACTTTGTTCAACTCGGGACTTCAGATAATTATAACTTTACAACTGCATTGTGAATTATAGCATAAGTCAATGGAATCTATTTGATTATTCAACAGGTTTGATCAAATTCAAACCATTTTGTTACATTGCATTATGCATAGAAATCTACTGTATTAATAAGGCTCTTCCATTATGGAATACATTATTTGCATAGACTTTTTGTACTTTCCTCATGATAAATAGAAAACATCTACTGATTAGTGTTAATCATTAGAACCTTACATCTCATTATATAACAGCGCTGGAGAAATACTGACTTCTAGGCCATATCCCTGCCATTGTTGATGTCCCTGGCAGAATACAAAATGTAGACTATGTATGCTGAACAGCATCTATTAAGAGGAAGATTATAACTGTAAACAGGTAGGCGTGGCCTAAACCTCAGTGTTTCAGGTATTGATACATAGTTAAACAACAATACAAAATTAAAGAAATACTGTACATGATTTGACAATTAGACAAAACATTAACAAAATTGTTTGGTAAATGCTCCAATTGGTCACAATCTTAAGTACACTTGAATTGTTCATTTCAATCTGTTATATGCTACATCATAAGGGCCTTATTTCCAAAGTGAATGCTTCCTTTTATCAATTGCACAGGTAGTGCAAATTCACATTAGTATACAAAGTGGCCTTGGAATCATAAAGACATACAGGAGACAGTGCTGGTGGGCTTGGATTAGTGTGGTAATGCTGAATCACGCAACTCATGATCCGTCAAGTTATTTAGTGGAAGCATTATGGCACCCACCTACAGTGCTCTACGTTCAATCAAACACTAGTAAACAAAGTTGACTAAGATCCCTGTCCAGTCTATTCTGTCTTTGTGATTCCTAAACTACTGCAAAGTTTCCTTTATAATATATTAATTTAGAAATGTCTAAAAAGGTACATATGTATCCACCTATGAGCTGTTGTTGGTCCTAACAGTAATCATCGGCTACTCATAAGTGTTTGCCCTTTAAGCTCCTAACTGCTATCTGAAGGGGTTTCTGTCATCACTGAACTTCTGCTAACATGCAGCTTCCCCTGAAGTGACATTTAAAGTAGGATAGTACCCCTGAAAGATTCTGTCTCACCAGTGTTTGACTATAAACCTTAGTCCTGGCATCTGCCCATTGTACTGTGTATGGCTTCTCTTCATTTCATAATTCTAGCTCCTTTCCTTTTCCTTCAACTCTAGGTTACGGTTGGATTTTCAAACTGGGGTGCAAGACTGACACTATCCCTAAGATGGAGGAAATCAGCCCACAAAAGCCCACCACTCCTGGGTTTGACCGGTACACACCCAGCCTGTCCAGTGGAATGAAAAGATCACAAATGTTTTTCAGTGTGTCAAGGGCAACCGAGGGATGGCTTTTAAGACTCTTGAAGAGCAGGAACAGAAAAGCATCCAGTTGAGGAACAATAACAGTAGCCACATCAGGGCTGTCGTTGAGGTGCTGATCCATTTTCTGTTGAAACTGCCTATCTCTGGTTCTCTGAACCATAGTCTGGGTGATTACGTAAACATCTCTGGTCAGACTCATAACCAGGGACAGGAAGTAGCAACGAGAGGCATTCAAGCTCCAGCGCTCCTTGTCAATACCAGGGACAAGGCCAACATTCCTGGCCCAGAGCACATTGTCGCAGATAAAGTAAAGGGCGCGGTTGAGGTTGGCCACAGTAAGGCAGAGGCGCAGCACAGGGTCAGAGAGCTGCAAGGTTCGCTTGGCAGCGTCAATGGAATTCACAGTGTTCCCTAGTCTGAACACTGAAACAAAGAACAAAATACAGAATTCAGCACATGCTCATGAATGAAAATAGTTATCAAGTAGGCTACATTTGACTGATCGTTGAACCAAATATTTGTCAGCACAAAACTAGAGAGCTTCTTTCCAGGCATAGACCTTCAGCTTTCCTATATGACCTGGGGGAATTACTGCTTATGTAACTTAACTGTCCATGTCTTATGCAATTGCAGAAGCAGCCTAGTGAGCCTACTCTTCCAAATGGTTGAGGGTCTGATACCCAAAATGTTCTCCACATAAAGCCATCCAATAATAATTAGCCTACAGCATGTTTCAAAAACACTTGTCCTACCGGTTAGTTAGCTACAGTATGTCCCTGGGGAGTGTAGTAGTTGGTGGTGGTGAAGGTTGTACAAACTCACATTTCCTTCCAGAACTCATGTTGGACTCCAGACTCTGCAGCTTGACAACAAGCTCTTTCCTTGCAGAATTCTTGCGAAGCAAATACTTCGACAAGGCACATGCATATTGGGTTGTCCTGAAATATAAGCATTAGACATAATGGCCTTTAAACACACATCTCAGCAGGACAGCAACTATATGTGTAGCTAGTAACGTTAGACTGAAAAGGAGATCATCATACAAACTAAACTGATCTGACTTGCTAGATTGACAGACAGCAAGCTACATTAGCAAAGAGATGTAACTTGTTGCAGCAGAAATGAATGATGGATAACATTGGCATTAGTTAGCTAATTAAGGTTGGAATTATACTCAACTTTTAAATCATGAGTTAGCTACTGTAGACAGCTAGCTTGCTACTAAATAAGCCGATTTAGCTAGCTATCTCGCTAACTTACCAATACATACCTGAAAATACGATCCCTTCCTTGACTTTGATTTGTGAACTTAACAAAAGACTCCATTGCGACCAGTGGCTTGTTGTTTCAAACAGCAGATAAAATGGAACAAAACGTACAACTTGTAGACAACCCAGGCAGCCTAGCCGAGTCTAAAGTGAGGCAACTGCATAGAAATAGATAGAGGACTCATCTTTGTATCTGTGCTATTTTAGGGTCTGTGACAGCAAAGGCAATCTCAATTTTGAAGTAGAAGGTTTTCTTCTTCACGATTGGCTGGTCCCTCCTGATGGCCCAGTTGGACATTACTCCAACATGGTCACCAGGAGAGATACGCCAATAAAGTTGGATGTCCCACCCAGTTTACTACTACATTAAAATGGTGGACGCCCTCAATGCCATTCTTCATGCTAACACAGCCTTTTGGCCGCTATCATTCTCTATGGGCAACTGCTCTCATATCATAGATAGCTAGCTTTGGTTTCAGTACGGACGGTTTTGCAGACGGACAAGTGAGTTTGGCGAGCGCCTCTTTCGAATACTTATTAACATCGTTTATTATTTCCTTACTTGCAGTAAGATCCACTGATCTTACACGAGTAATATGTAACAAAACAACTAAATTAGGCATAGTAATAACATGGTTCAACAGGAATCAACAATAATGATAGGCATGGAAGTACTTACATATTCATCTCACATTAATTACATTAATTTGAATACAAAGTACAGACAACATTAGAATGAAAGAAAACATTTATTTCAAAACAAATAAAACACAAGAAGGGACGTTCAACATGTGGCTCCAAGTGAAGGGAGATGTTAGCTTGGCTTTGATTTTTAGTTGTATCTACATATACATTATATATGAACATGTAATCACCATAAATTATGTTCATACCACAGTATGAAAATATATCCAATCATAACCATTTTATCCTGAACAACTACCCTCAAATGTTCCCTTATAGCCACAGAACCAAGCGACAGAAATCCTTAGTTATATTTTAACATAGTACCTATGTTAAAAATAGAACACAAGTAAACATGGTATGATAATAAACATACTATTTTGTTATGTTATTTATGCCCTGTAACTGTATGCTTTCACATTATGAGAGTTTTCTCACTTTTTCTTCATTTAGCAGTGAGATGCATAGCTTACATTAATGAAAAGATATCTGCAAACGTAATATCCTCATATAGTAAGTTATGCAATCCTAACCATTGGCCAGCAACCCTGAAATGTTCTGAGCCACTCAGAAATTCCTTCACATAGCTTCAAATAGCGTTGTGATAGTGATAGTCTTTTTTCTTCAAGGTTAAAAGGTTATGTCCTTCCTCATCTGGAAGGAGTTCTGCCTCCTTGTTTTAAGACCTGTTTCAGTGCCTCAGGTGGACTTCTGCCCACCGGTTCCACAGCCCCACACATGGCCTACAGTGTATGTGCCGTATGCAGGGCCAAAGGAACCTGGTGTGCTACCCTTGGGAGTAGCCTGACTGTACACTATAAAAAGTCATTATACTAATAATCTTCACCACCATCATCATGGTCTTTGTAACCACCTTCATATTTTTCGTCATAATCATCATCTTCCTCTTCATCCTGCTCATCTGTGGTCGTCTGCAGATAGAACATGAAGTAGATAATTTATTTATCAGTTATGCCGTGTGTGTGAGAGATCCTTTATCACGTGATATTGACTGTGCATTTGAGTGAGAATGATACAACTGATCACTTTTACAAAATATCAAATTTAAAATGAAACAGTATTTTGTAGCAATACAATGTAATACAGTATAAGTAGTTATGTGTTGCTTGCATATATTGCACTGTTCCTACAGTAGAAGTTGTCATTAATGCAATCAAAAAACATCAAGCTTACCATAATGGCGTTCAGCAGAGGACTGCAGGACTGAGGAGAGTGAGCAGTGGGTGGATTTTATACTGCAGGGTAGAGACAAAGCCTGAGTCTCCACCTCCCCTGTGAAGTGAAACTCAGACTGACTTTTCTGGAAACAAAACTGATGGGAAAGAAGAAGGGGTGTGTCTCAGTGAAGCGCGACTGAGCCCAGTGCATACTAAACATGCACACAGACGCCCATGTACACACACACACACACACACTCCTATGGATCTGCTGGAAAACCCCTGACACCTCTCCTAGAAAACCCCTGACACAACTGATATGGCGCTAGTGGAGCCAATACATCCTCTACTCTGTTGGCTGTGTGTACAGGCTGGTGTTTACTGCATTATTGTCAGCTGGAGGGATACAAACAACTGGAAGGTGGAAATGAGAGGTGTATTTGTACCAACTCTTATCCTTTACCAGTGCTAAAAGGCCTTTAGCACAATACGCTACGAAACATTTGAAACTATGGTCAGAGAAATAGCTTACATAGGCATATATATTATTTTCTTTAGAAAGTTACACTGTACATTATCTGATGATGAATATTGTGTTATTATCAAATATGTGTAATTGCACTTTGCATTCCTTTGTAATTATTTATTTCCTCTGGACATACAGTGCCTTCGGAAAGTATTCAGACCGCTACACTTTTTCCACATTTTGTTACGTTACAGACTTATTGTAAAATGAATTAAATAAAACAATTTCCTCATCAATCTACACACAATACCTCATAATGACAAAGCGAAAACAGGTTTTTAGAAATGTTTGCAAATTTATTACAAATAAAAAACAGAAATACCTTATTTACTTAAGTGTTCAGACCCTTTGCTATGAGACTCAAAATTGAGCTCAGGTGCATCCTGTTTGGATTGATCATCCTTGAGATGTTTCTACAACTTGATTGGAGTCCACCTATGGTAAATTCAATTGATTTGACATATATAAGGTCCCACAGTTGACAGTGCATGTCAGAGCAAAAACCAAGCCATGAGATCGAAGGAATTGTCCGTAGAGCTCCGACACAGGACTGTGTCGAGGCAGAGATCTGGGGAAGGGTACCAAAAAATTTCTGTAGCATTGAAGGTCCCCAAGAACACAGTTCATTCTTCACCGCCTGGACAAACTAAGCAATCGGGGGAGAAGGGCCTTGGTCAGGGAGGTAACCAAGAACCCGATGGTCATTCTGACATGGCTCCAGAGATGGGAGAACCTTCCAGAAGGACAACCATCTCTGCAGCACTACACCAATCAGGCCTTTATGGTAGAGTGGCCAGACGGAAGCCACTCCTCAGTAAAAGGCACATGACAGCCCGCTTGGCGTTTGCCAAAAGGCATCTAAAGACTCTCAGACCATGAGAAACAAGATTCTCTGGTCTGATCAAACCAAGATTGAACTCTTTGGCCTGAATGCCAAGCGTCACGTCTGGAGGAATCCTGGCACCATCCCTACGGTGAAGCATGGTGGTGGCAGCATCATGTTGTGGGGATGTTTTTCAGCGGCAGGGACTGGGAGACTAGTCAGGATTGAGAGAAAGATGAACGGAGCAAAGTACAGAGAGATCCTTGATGAAAACCTGCTCCAGAGTGCTCAGGACCTCAGACTGGGGCAAAGGTTCACCTTCCAACAGGACAACGACCCTAAGCACACAGCCAAGATAACGCAGGAGTGGCTTTGGGACAAGTCTATGAATGTCCTTGAGTGGCCCAGCCAGAGCCCGGACTTGAACCCGATCGAACATCTCTGGAGAGACCTGAAAATAGCTGTACAGCGACGCTCCCCATCCAACCTGACAAAGCTTGAGAGGATCTGCAGGGAAGAATGAAAGAAACTCCCCAAATACAGGTGTGCCAAGCTTGTACCGTCATACCCAAGAAGACTTGAGGCTGTAATCACTGCCAAAGGTGCTTCAACAAATTACTGAGTAAAGGGTCTGAATACTTATGTAAATGTGATATTTCCGTTTTTGCTATGTCATTATGGGGAATTGTGTGTAGATTGATGAGGGGAAAAAAACAATTTAATCAATTTTAGAATAAGGCTGTAATGTATCAAAATGTGGATAAAGTCATGGGTCTGAATATTTTTCAGAATGCACTGTATGGTCATGATTGTTGTCATAGTTATATGTACAGTATGTTATTGTATTGTTGTGTCCCTGTTGTCAGCCTGTTGTTACGTTTGAATTGAACTAATACTAGTAGAACTGATGAGGGGAAGACTCATTTGGTCAACCTAACAATACATCGATAGGTTTATAATATTGAATAAACAACACATAGAAACGACAGACACTAGACAGAAGTTGCATGTGTTTACAGTTTTTATTTTCACAGTTTCATGGGTTTTTACAGGAAATGTTGCGTATAGCCTTTTTAGATGAATTTATTATGGGATTGTGTGTATCAGCAGGCCCCTCCCTCGAGCCCACCTAACCAAGCACGCAGACCACCAGAAGCCAAAGGGAAAAAGGGAAGTGGAAAGTAGTTTTTGGCTTTTGTGGTGCTTCTGTAGTCTGAGCTTCGGTTAGGTGTTTCGAGGTCACTGCATTTCTGCAGCACTGGCTCTGCACACGTCGCCCCCTGCTGTCCCGGCATGGGAACACGACGCATCGGCCTTGTACCTGTGGTAGGCAGCACCACTGTTGCGTAACTCCCTAGTGAAGGCCACACCTGATGTGTAGTGTTCTCATGATGGGGCAGTCGAGGGGGAGGCGCGACCCGCCCTTAGTCTAGCCCAGGATTTCTTCTCCTCCTCCTCCTCCTCCTCCTCCTCACTGTGGGAAGAGAGATTGTGTTCAGTACTACAATTCAGAAACCTTCACCCCAGCAAAACCTTTACATTTGCTAATAAACCTTTATCAAATAGTACTTTATCACTGGTGATGCAAGGGAGTGGCAGAGAAAACAGCAGCAGTAGAGGTCTTGATACATATCATTGATAAGTGTCACAACACAGACTTATTGACTTATTGAGACAACATTTCTGAGTAGTTGTGAGAAATTGCTTGATTTACAGCAATAAAAAGGAAGTCTGTACTTGTCTCCTTTTTTTACAGATACATTTAATATCTAGGACCTGACATCTCTGAATAGTAGTATATTGTTTTACAGAGATACTTCAAACAGAGATACTTACATGATTCAAGGCAAGCAGACAGAATGGGACTCCATGGGTGACCTGTCAAAGGGTTAAGGTCACCAGCCCTGAAACACAAGGAATGATAGACTTAGATGTGACGCAGTCAATAATTACAAAACATGGTCACTTCCCTAT